AAGAAGCCAACGTTTACGAACCAATAAATTTGCAATGGTATCTACAGTATGGGGCCAATTTACAGAGAAGTCACAAAATTGTTATAAACTTAGTGCATACATTACTTTTACATAAAGAATTATATAAAGAATACTACAAAAAACTTGTCAAGTAAAAAATTGTAAAGGTTACAAAATTACGAAAATTTGTTTAAGATGCGGGAAATATTTATGCGGCAAATGTACATTTGATAATAAGACAATTTGTAAAAAATGCAACAAAGTTGAATAAGATATATCTCTATATAAATAAAAGTAATTCTATTTAAGTCTATAATTGAAATTAAACAAAAGTAAATTTGAACGAAATTTGATGAAAGTTCATCATTTTATATACATTTAGCATACATAAATTAACCATTATCTAAGTTAAATAAAAAAAACTATTACTTCTTTAATCACCGGTCATTTTGACCGCACACGGTAGGAACAGGTATACACGAAGTGTCAGTAGCTTTAGTGTTAAAAGGGTATTCTTAAGCAAAGTCATAATCTGGAACCTTCTGAGATAAAATAGTTCTAATAGTAAAAGTAAACATGTATTGTTATAATATCATTTAGTTATTTAAGAAAACTCATGCTGTGTATACATACAGAACCATTTATTTGCTTGAGAAACTAATAATAACGGCATTTCTTAGAAAAATAAACTCAAATTACACAATAATGTTTTTGTTTATGTAGGGTTTAGTAAATAGGGAACATATTCATTATATTACATATGAATAAACACAAAATTGATGCATAAAATTAGATGACATTGAAATTATTTTTATTGGTCAATGTTTAAAATCTGAAGTTAGGTAAGAATACTAATCTATAAGTAAGATAACTCAATCTTAAAGATACGATCTTTTTTTCAACACACGTGCGCTCCTTGGATTTTTAAAATCAAATATAAGATCGTATATGTAAGAGATTGTTCCATACCTTTCTTTATTTATCGAGTAAAATCCATAACGCGAAATATTTGAATAATTATAATTTATACGCTTAACTTATTACCAAGATCAATATCTTTTCGAGGTTTTCTTTTTTTTTTAATTGAAACAAAAATGAAACAATCCTCCACTTGGTCCATCTACATCCTAGCAATTTCATTAAAAAAACAAAGAATTCATGGGAATGCCTGCGTTATCTTTTAATCTACAAGCCTTCTCTTTATCTCTGACCTACATACATATACTAGGTGTTCGAAAACGATTATACCAAGCTTTCAGATCAGATATTACTTATTGTTACAACAAATTATAAATTAAACAATCCCAGAAATTTGTACTATTTTTCAACTACAATTCTCTATTCGTTCTTTAAACTTTTACATCGACCTACTTCTAATTCCAGACAAATACTCATAAACGAAAATGCTTTACAAATTGAAAAATATTCATTGTATACCAATTATATGTTTCAATGAACGCTATATGCTTTTAAAATTTAATATATACTTCTTCCTTCTTTCTGTATATTCAGTGTTTAGAAGAGAAAAAAATGTGTGACGATTCATTGCTTTATCATACGCGTTTCATTGTTACTGTCATTCGCGTATTAGTCATTTGACAACAGAAATACACGAGAATCCGTGCAGAGAAACCCAATAGAGATGTGTCATTGAGCCTGATCGAGCAACAACAGGCTGCATAGTCTAATTCTCTAAGTAAGTACTCGGAATAGCGTCGGCAATTGTCCCGTGTAATAATTGTTGCACTTGGCGGCGATCACGCTGGAATCGAAAGCGAGATTCCACCCGGAAGACACACGTTGAATTACCATGCGAACACCGTGTATCACGAGTTAATGGAATTATGCAAATTTGTCAGTTATCACGGCCTATAGGCCCGATCTTGTTTGCTTAGCGTATTCAACAATGCAACGTTGGCGCGTTCGCGTGTTTGCCCTCGTCTTCGATGAGATATATTTATACTATCAAGTGGTTCGAGCGCTTCAGACTTGTAATAATATTTATCTGGTGCGGCAACCGCGAGTCCCCAGCCTTTGCTCTTGCGTGTGTTCATCCCGTCGAACGGAATCCAATCGTCGAATTCATTGTAAAATTTTATGTAAACCACTCCGGGCTTCTCATTACTAGGCCAATTTTCTTCACGTACCGAATTGTCGTACGCTGATATTAAAATAGATAGAACCAGACGGTTTCATACGGCACACTTCGCTGCGTCGCGTCTCGTTATTATTAATCGACCAGCGTCAAATGGTCATTCTTTTTTTTAGAAGATGTACGCTGCTCAGCTCAGGCGTAATGATTTCATCTTTTTTTCTAAGAATCTTTATCCATGCTGATAAAAATATAAATTTTCATAAACATTCGCGGCCCAGTAATTAATGATTCTATCAATCTGGATTATGATTGCTTGACAGGAACTGTAACGAGTAATTTTGAAACGTTGGTCAAATAAAAAAATTTCGGTTTGTTTGAACGTTTGGATGTTCATTTACCGCCAATAATTTGTTTACCGAGGTTAATTCCATGTACAGTAGGCAAAGGGTTAAAAATATCTTGATAAGGGAATTCCGTTTGCTGCACAGCCTCCAGGCTTCAGCGAGCATCGTCGTAAAAGGCTTTATCTCGCGAGTAGTCCTCCGCGGATTGTGCGCGGTAATGTTCCCTAGTTGCACATGGTTGATAAGCATTAAACGTGTTTGTGGCTGCAAGATAACTCGCGCATTTTATTAATATCCATTAAGTACACCGACAGATTATCGCCGCTCACGGTTTTGCATCTGGCTGCTTTGCTTATTATTAGAGACAGCTTTAACGAGGCTAATTATAGGCGATATTATATATCCATTGTCTCCTGCTGGCTGACTCCTTTAGAAACACGTTGTCGAGGTCATTGTCTGATCGACACTCTTCGTCCCGCGCGAATCGGACTTTACCACCATGCTTTTCAACTAGTACCATTCGATTCTTGTTCTACAAGTATCGATCATTCTCATACTGTATGATAGTATCACCGTCGTTAACTTGAAAGTTTGACAAGGTTTGAAAGTGAATACCACATACAAGAGGTTTTTTTCTGATGTCCTACTTTAAACATTTAGGGCATCCCATTAGTTATAGCGAGAGGCCAATAATTTATATAATTTGTAATTACAATTTATTTGTATAATATTATAAATTCCTACCTTTTAAATTTTTCGAGGAGGAAGTTACAGAAAAATTAATTCGTTCTCTGTAAAACAAACTCCCCTCGCTCTGTCATATGAATGGAGAAATAAAAAAACTCTGATGGAGCAAGCGATTGTTGTCATGATCTAGAAATATGAGAAGGGACGCTTGGTCGCGAGTCTTGTTTATGCTGGCATCTTTACAGGAGACAATTGATTTCAGTTGCAAAGTAACCAGCAAATCGACGTCAACGAAATATATATTACACACGGCAAACGCGGAAGATGCGTTGACTTAGATAATTCTTCCCCACCTTATTTTTTCTTCGCTCCTCTTCTTGCTCGAACGAGAGCTAGACCGATTAAGCGCATCGCGGCCCAAGCGATGATACGTTTAACTACAGTCACGGTTATTATGGGAATGTTTACGGAAGATTCTTGGAAACGTATGTCGTCGTACGGTCTTGAACTCTCTTACTCTAGTCGAGAAATGGCTTTCGAAAATGGACATATATAATTGGGAAAAGAATCAATTTACAAGATTACAAAATCGTCAGTATAATTGGAAATTGTAACATACGTAATTCTATAACAGCATGTATAGTTGTCACGATAAATGTTATTTGATCGTTTGAGTTACCTCAGGCTCAAATAAAAAAATTGATTTTTCGTTTTTTGATGTGTTTATTGAATATTTATATTGTAAGTATCTACTGTGAAAAATTATAGGAGGTAAGATACTACTACCTTCACGAGATAGTCGAACACTGTTCAATCGAATGTTCGATAATCTGTACAGTGCCATCTAGCAAAGGGAAACAAACATTCTATGTTTACGTCAACTTACGTGCTCGTATATCGCTGGCTTATCGTTCTGAATTCGTCGGTATAGTAGTGTGTGCAACACTAACACGAAGAACGAAATGCGAAATAGCAAATTAATTTGAATATGGCGGAATTATGATTGAGACATTGATTAAACTGGGAAATTGTACAATAAATAATTTGTAATTTTGAAAATAGGTAAATAATTTGCTGTACAATATCAATTTGTAGTAATTTTAACAATAATTTTTACTTCAATTAATATGAATAATCAAAGTTTTACTTTATTCAGGCGTATGTATGTAATTAAATAAATTACTAAGAAACGTACACAAGAATTAATTCTACAACACAACTGATTACCCAAATAGACATTGGACATACTAAAACTTTCCCATCTTCGATAACGAACAAATTTAAAAATAGATAGCAAAACATTATATTTTTATATATTGCGTCTAACGTATTTGGCTGCTGCTCGAAGTAAATAGAATTATATTCATTGAAAACTTAATCAACAAATAAAATTAAATAGTAGTACATGTCACTTTTATTATGAATATTTACTTATTCGTTATATATTTAAATTATTAATCACTACAAGTGTATTTCCATACTGATCCTAAGCCTCTTTGAACGTTCAAAGTAATTGTATTAAAAAGACTATTTAATATTTAATAATGTTATTTATAGACAATTCTTATTTATATGTATATTTCCCACTTGCTTTACAGCATTACACCAATTAATAAAGATAAATATAGGTTGTGCCCAAGCCAATGATGTTTAACGATTACATACTTTTAAACTAAGGAAACACTTAAAAAGATCGAATGAAAGCAAAGCGAGATCGAAATATAAAAGTTTCGAAGGGCAATTCGACTTAGCAGTGTGGAATCACATCTTATTTTTTCCTCAATCCTAAATTGAATTATAAAAGATATTTCATTCCATGTAATATATCTGTACATTGTACTCTATAAGACATGGTATTTTTTCTTTCATTTCAGATGAAAATTGAAACATCCCAGGATATGACGTAAATATTAGTATAAAGAGTAACGGAGAACAGCACCATGAAGAAGAATCTCACGCCGTAGTGCGATGTTAGTGACACAGACACCCTCCTCGACGGACAATCTGCCGAATATGCTGCCGGTACTCGAGGAGGAGGCGGATGTCGATGTCGACGACGCATTCCCGCCGCACGTCGACACGGCGAACATCGTCATACAGCCAGAGTCGCCCACCAGCAAGAAGCAAACGCTGAAGACCTTCAATGAGGTCAATGCGCTTCTCCAGGCCGGCAGAAAGAGGGAGGCTAAGATGATCATAAGGGAAAACGCGTGGCCATTGAACAACGGGATCAGAGCGCAATTGTGGCCAGCCCTTTGCAACCAACATGCACATGGAAAGAATATGCTCGACGGATTCTATTGGGACATGGTCAATCAAGTATTTGGAACTACAGGTTTGTTTCGAATAACTAAATATTACACGCTTCATGTAATTTTCATATCTCAAAGATACCAATAGACTTGTGGATTTTTATGCAAGTTTATAGTTTTATGAATGCGAATTAAAAAATGGAAGTCAGAATGCTTCGCATTTATCTTTATTAACTGTTGACGAATACCTTAAAAGAAACTAAGATGGAACTTTGTCGAGAAAAACTACTCCAAATCCTTCAGGTAACATTGAAAATTTGAATGTGTTGTCAGGATTGACAAGAAGTGCCTCCTAATTGAGAAGCAAATAAACCAGATAATGGGTATTCATTATTCATTAGCAAAAATGACTCAACGGAAAAAGACGTTATAATGCTAAAATTATTTTCTTTTGTAATAAAAATGAAGTATTGCAATTATGAATACTTACGATGCAGAAGAAACTATATTGCTTGATATGTTACTATTGAAAATTTATAAGAATTTAACGCGTTTTCTTAGGAATTATTAAAGTCAGAAGCTGTACAAAGTTATTTGCTATTCTAATAATAACGAGCTGAAAATCTATCTACACACATGTATTATTAGCGTCTCGATACGTGAAGCTTGCACGTACAGTCGGAATGTTTTTTTGCCTAAAATCTGTCACTGCAAAAGCTATTACGTTTCACATAGAAAGCCTTCTTCTTGTACACCAAATCTCGTTACATAAGTTTCATATAATTTATCACTTGTTCCCTTTTTGCTTAACTAACGCACTAGGATTCCGGAACGACACATATACTAATATATAATTAAATAACTATACTAGTTGTTTTGCGGTTTACAATTTACAATTTTGGAGTAATAATAATAATAAATTAACTTAACATAAACTCAAATACGGTTGCATGATTCCGTTAGATAAAACGTACGTTCTACCTGTTTCTTTAACCGGGTCTTATCTGTTACGTAACACGTATTTAACCCTACCATTTGAGGGTTAAGTCGATTTAGAATTTTTCTGCAAAAAGCAACGTAGTTATAATTATCTTACGGGCATATCAAAATTGCTTGTCTCTACAACTTTTTAGTAAATAAAATTAGATAAGAAACGACCAGTTTACCTGTAAGCCATTGCCGATAGTAACTTTGATAATGATATCTAATTTAACAAATTTGATAATGAAATAAAGATTTGTAAATAAATTTTACAAACTATATATATATATTACAGACTTCCTTCGCACAGTTCTTTATAATCTTACGATTTTAGATCGAATAAGACAACATACATACATACATACACATATATAATTATATAATTTATATTTATTGTTTATAATGTATATATATATTTATATTGTATTTTTTATATTTTAAATTTATAATAAGAATGTACGACCTAAAATCGTAAGATTATAAAGAACTGTGCGAAGGAAGTCTGTAATATATATATATATATAGTTTATAAAATTTATTACAAATTTTTTTTAGAATGCAAATACCTTGAATCATAAAGACCGGTCCCAAAGCGATTTTCATCTACCTACCTTTTATGCTACTGCTTGTTTCTTAACCACCACCAATATTTATAAGGTCGTGATTGACTGTGATACTATTATTCTACGTTATAATGTTTAGGCTTTTACAAAATATAACGATAAATTATTCTAACAAATGATTTAAAAAGTGCTTATATATTTTCGTAATTGTTTATTTCATTGTAAATTAATGGTGGTATTTACTTTACTGCATGTTCAATAACATTCTTTTATATATATATTACTTTAGTCATCGTAAGCTAATCTTAAATTCGCGTGATTTTATAAGTCTGATACGTGGGTTCGAGAGTTCGTATATTCGAATTGTAGTGTTCTACGTTACATGGATGTATATTTATTGTTAGAAAAAGATGATGCGTAGCACCTTTACTCAGTTGGTGAGAAAAATGATCAATAGACAATGAATTCAACTATTGTAAGCAGCCAAATGCGGCGTGCAAAATGTTTAAAATAGATTAATGTAACTCTACTTAGCTACAACACATTAACGTTGTACTTTTTTAAATGTTCTATATTGCTATTATATTTCTATATTGATATATAATGCAAATTAATTTATTACTTTTAATTCTTCTTTAGATAAGGAGTCCTTATTATCGAATGAAAACTTACCGGTTTCATAAAAACGTATTTTACAAAAATATTTCTTCTACGATTTATTGCGATTATATACAATGTGATAAATGCATAAATATTCGCGGTCTAATTATCAGATACTCCGCTGATAAGTTTCCATCGAATCTCGTTAGACCAGATGTGGTGCTCCGGTCGTTCCGATTAAACTTATTTGTTTTTAGCAGCGACAGCTGATGTATGGAATTACTGTTTATAGAGCTACCGGAAAAATCAATCATGCTACCACCGTTCGTGGACAGCACTCATTGCCTGTCGTACCACCTGACGAGAAAAGGCAGGAGCGTTGCGGACAGGATTGTGTCTGTGCTGGGATACGCTTGTCCTGATATCACCTACAGTCCTTCTCTTTATCCCATCACGGCTCTTCTACTTCACTTTATGCCAGGTGAGTGTATAAATAAATAAATCGTCCGCCTCTCCCTTAGGAATACGTAGGATGAAAGAAGGACGGGTCTTTCAAGAAAGCTTCTTTCTCTGCCCATTTGTTCCACCGATACAATGGAAATTCACATCGCGTGCCGTAAGTCGAATTTCTTGCTCGTTCGCATAAATTAAGATGTTAGGCACGCGGTTGGATAGAATCCCAGGTTTATTATTAGAATGAAATCGGAAATGTTCACGAGATTACCGTTTTCCATCCATCTGTTACAGAGGAGGAGTGTTATCATTGTATGGCCAGCTTGGTCGCCGCTAAAGACAAGATGTTCATTACGCAAACGAAACTCCTCTACGAGGTTACCTGGAAAACCGTCGAGCAAATCACTAAAAAGCACGTGGTATGTAGCTTTAGGCACAAATTGTCTAAGATGAATCATGAAACGACCGTTCTGGCTTGTTTGGCTTGAAATGATTCTTATTTTACTTATAGATACAATGTTTACCAGGAAATAGCAGCCGTGTCTTCAGCTTCGTTTTTAAACGGTTTTCTGACTGATTGGTGTTGTCATAGATGTCCGTAAATGCATCATACACAAATCATTTCTACATTAAACAGACTAGAACGGAACAAGTATATGTATAGATGTAATTATTTCTTAATGCTTGGCGAATGAATCATAAATTTTCTAATGATTAGTAATCTGAGCGTAAAAGAGCTACAATCAGAACTACAAAATATTACGAAGCTAATTATGAAACGTTGTATGATATAACATTAAATAATATTATATTATTATATTTATTTAATAATACTATCAATCTTTTAAATACAACCATATTTATATTTCATGTTTATTTGCATTTTGGAACACATATAAAATTAATGAGATTTACTTCGATCACTTATCTATGAATATACTATATATAAATCACTTTATTCGCGTATATTTATTAAAGTATATGATTTTGTATGAAAAATTAAAGTTGCTGCTAAACCTTTTGCAAATAACTTCCTTTGTCTCAATGATTTGTAAAAATTACATTTATACATTTAAATTGAATATGCGGTTTATTTTTAAGAATATATAGGACTGTAATATTTTATTAAAGAAATCAGCAGCGGTACATTTGGCGAGGCACTGTTCTGGATCGAGAGCAGAAAGAATTTATATGGATTGGATGTGGTGGATTTTGCAGCTTCTTCCTTTCCAGCATTTAGTCAGGGTTATGGACTGTTTTCTTCACGAAGGCATCAAGGTCGGTATTTACAAGATTCGAATGAGATCAACTTGAGACACTTATACTCCTTTATCGCATCTTTTCATGGTACATTAAAAAATATTATTGGCTCCGATTCAAGAGAAGAATAGAGTTAAAGATATGTATAATATGGAATGCTTTTTCAGGAATAGTATGAATGGTGAATTCGAATGTTGACTGTATGCCAGTGAGAAGTCGATTAGATATGTGCATTTTTGCATATTGGCTCTTCTTAGTGTGTTGTGCAGAAAGTAATATTTTGTACATTTATAAAACTGCATCATTCTTTGTGATATTATATTATTATTAGTATTAATTTCTCATTATTTGTTTCAGGTCTTCTATCGTGTAGCAATGGCTATAGTTTTATTATTCTATAAGCATTCGTCGCTGCAAAACTCTGAATGGATGAACGAAATTTCAAAGAACGGTATTGACGCTGCTCTCTCGAAGTTCTGCAGACAAACACCGGTAAGTAAAAGTGTAAAAAATTCTTTAGCACATTACCGATGCTACACTACGCGAAGTCATTCAAAACGCATACTAATTATAGCTTTCTCTTGATATTCTTACATATAAAATAATAAGTAAAGCAAATTTTTCCTAAGCTCACTTAAACACGGACTATTATTTATTTCAATCTCATATGGAATAAATATGTTACAGCAATTTATATCTATATCTATACTAATATAGTGTTAAATATTAATAATTTATAAACTTACAGGTAACGCCAGCTAAATTTTTACGTACAGCATTTGGGATACGTGGACTCAGCTCAGCATACATATCAAGGGTATTTTTACGCACAGAAATGGCTCTAAAAAGTAAAAGCGTTATATCGGGATCCAAATCATTGGCTAGATCACGATCCACCGACAATTTGCCGACGAGTCAGTCTCAAGTCAACATTCAAATGATGTCGCACACGCTCACGATACGAGAAGTATGTTATCTGTATTCCTCTTCCTTCTAAGACGGTGTAAAACACCGAATACTTGACAAATTTTTTCCAACAAAGTATGGACTCACGTACATGCTAAAATTTTATTTTATTCTACCTGGTTGTTTCTCCTCCTGATCAATTCTTATGGGGTATACTCTGTTAATTTTGTAGTACTTGATAGTATATGGCATGTTAATGATATTACTCTCCCACTTATTTTCAAAGTATGAGATTATATTCATAAGATAGTGTACATATATGTGAGCCCATTATTTTTATCGTTAAATGTTGCGAATGATTCCTTATTTGTGAGAAATGTTGCAGGTTAAAAGGTTTAGTATCAATAGTTTACGTGATTAATGTTTCTTACTGTAGAATAATATAAGTAGACGTTTTTCAAAGATGATGGGTTAAGTTAATAGTTTCTTAGGGTATCAGAATGCAAATTATGCAAAAGCTGTTCAATGATTCACTTTGTTTTCAGAAAGAGTGTGAAGACACATACAAAGACAGGGTATCGTATAATTATCTTTTTGGGAAATGTGTTGTTAGTTTCATGTGCTCTGCCCTCTGTTCCTGAACTACTATACCTGTTACATTCATTCATACTCACCCATTGTTACACTTATCGTGCCAGCTTTGTTGCTGTTACCGTCTATCCACTTGCAGTTACTGCCTTTTGAACATTAGAAAATAACAAAAATTTCTTCCAATAAAGTCATATCTTCTATTTATTAGGTTTCAATGGCTTTCAGTGTTTCGCAGATATGATATCTCAAATGTAACAATAAAAGAAATATATACGTTTGTATTCATACATTCTATCGAAAATGTTTATTTACTATGTTACTACTTATATGTTTTACGTAGAAAAATTCAATATATAGATGGTGACTGTTACTGGTGGGCTACACGAAATGTGTTTGCTTGTCATTGATCGATAGGATGGTCGAATTTATCTCTCAAGGCAAAAGTGCAAAAAAACTTAGCTGTTGAAAGCGCTTCAAATCGCTACATCAGTTTCGATCAGTGAATGCAGCAGCGTGCTTCATAAACTCCAGTATATCCGCAGTACAATATCATATTTTGGTCGTAACAGCTGTATAAAAAAACAAACCAAACGGCGAATGTTCGGAACAAACTTATTTTAATTTTATATACTAATTAATTTCAATGCTTTGGTAGCACATTGATTACATCATTTAATTTTCTTTTTTGAGATCATTACATCGGTTACACTGGTTAACAGTGAGTTGGGCGTTTCATTCGTATACCTACTCCACACTTTTTGTGTGATATTAGAGGAAAGACTTGAAAAATGTGGCCGATGTTTCCTGTTATGCTCTGTGTCTCCGATGGTTTTAACCAGTGTTATAATATTTATTCCTATTTTCTGACACGTAAAGTTGAACCAAAGCTGTATGCCAATATAACTGACGGTTCTGTGTTGTCTTGTGTCATGCTGCGTTACTGGAATGATGATGGATTTAATGGTCATGGGTGTAGGGTGCACACAGTCCTGGACCGCGTGCTCTGTCAATGGGGGTTTATCCCATACAAAGCATATGCTCCCAGATTCTAGACATGCCTGATGTAAGTACTTACGGCCGTTCAACACTAATCCACAAAGAATAAAAAGTTCGGCAGTAGCAGAGTTTTCTGTAGTCGCTGGTCGCCTCTCTGTGGCATGTCAATATTGTCGTTATTGGTGTATATACAACCGCCTTGAAGTACATATTAAATAGGATATTTAGTCAACATGGTATTTCTATCTTTGGCTATTATCAGAGTGATATTAGCTTAAATCTGTAAGATATATTTCATGTCGATTGAACAATGGCAGTCGTTTAGCAGATCTTCTAGCAGAATTTTAAAAAGGGCTAGATCGATGTAAATGATATATGATCGTCATTCACGTTCAAGGTATAAGTACAATTAGTAATTATCGATTAAGTCGGCTTTTGTAGTCGCAATTTCATTGTCAATTCTCTGTTGTATTCTTTACTTGCCTGAGGTTTAATTTTCTTACAGAGTATACACATTGAACTGAATGATGTATGGCCTGATTTATATATTGAAGAGAACGATGCACTGACTCGTATTCCTTCTGAATAAATTACGTGCTCAGTTTTACTATTCTCTGCTATTAATTCGGCATGTTGTCCCTGTCTTATTATCATGCATTTGTAGTGATCCTGGAATTCCTTTCCCTCAACCTCTACTAATTTTTATTGTTACATTCTTCTTACACTCCTTTTGAATATTTTTTGATGTAATTAGTGTGCAACATCAATATAATAAAATAAACTTGTAGTTACAATTTTAAACCGTTTGAACACTATTCAATGTATATGTAGTCACATGCACATTTTTATTTTTACATTTTACTAAGCCCTTATCATATCACGTGCATTGCCTCATCAAGTTACCATATCACAACCTTAATCTACTTATTATAATAATTTATAATATTGTAGCAATTCACTTTTATATTTGAATGATGTTCTTGCTTTTTGCATGATAGTTTTGCATCTTGTGTAAGCACAAGCCTAATTTCCTAATATTTTTTGAATTGCATTTCTTGATAGTTTTTTCTTGTATTGGTGTTACAGATTTTTAGAGAAAAAATTTTTAAATTACGAAATCGTTATTGATAAACAACAAAAGAGCTGAATGTGATAATTATCTTAATATTAAGGGTATATAAGAATATAAAAATATTGACAATCTCCTTTAGCACAAAAAATATTTAAAAGTAAATTAAAATTAATATAAGTGATTAATTATATAAGTAATTATACTTAGGGGTTCAATATACATATATGTATATAAAACTTTATTTTTGTATATAAATATAAATTACCATCAAACAAATAGGTTTTAAAAACCAAATTTCATATCCACATGATTTAATAAAATTATTCAAAAAGAAAAAAAACCGAGTAAAAGACCAGAAGAATAAATATACTTCCTTTCTATATTGTTTGGCTTGATTATTTTTTTTCAGTCAAAGGCATGATTTACCTCTGCTATGACTTAGTTTGCTGTATTCTTGAACAACTAGAAGATCATTGAGAACTAATGTTTGCGCAATTATAAATACTGGCCATAATTATATAAAATAGTTCTATTAACTTTTTGTACATTTATTTTGTGACAGTTATTCACGTTATGGTCCTGGCTGCCTATGCGGATCACCATGTATCAACCAATCCTATTGTATACAACAGAAGAGCATGGTTGTTCTTTGACAACATTTTATGTAAGGGTAGAGCAACATGAACCAACCCTCCTAATGATAAAAACATGTAACAATGAAGTAAGTGTATTCTTCATAGAATATTGGTTTTTTATCTCTACTTAATAAACATTCGTTTGTACTTTTTGTTATAAGGTATTTGGTGCCTATTGCTCCACAAGATGGTGTGAACGTAACTTGAAAAATGATAAAGGACAAAGACAAGCTTATTTTGGGACAGGTGAAACTTTCTTATTCAGTTTGTATCCTGAACGAGCAAAATACCCTTGGGTGGGTATGGATTCTTCGCACAATGATTCTAAAGTCCATCATTCAGCTGAACTGTTTATGGCGGCAGATTCCAAAATGATAACAATTGGAGGAGGGTAAGATTTTTTTAAAATATAATATTTATGAAAAATGTGTGTACTATTTATATACTCATTAATACTTTGACTGCTACCACAGTAAAAATTGTATGAAAATTGACAGGTAGGGCATTTTGAATATAATCGATAAATAGAAGATACTTTGAAACAAAAAGTGCCCCATTAAACAATTAAACATTTTTATTAGAACATCAATAAAAAAGAAAATGAGAACAAATCTTGCATCTAATGGTGCACTGTGTTTGCATTCATATCTTCGAGGCGTGATCTACGAATATTATTATAAACACAGCTTAGAAAATGCTGCTTTATAATCATATATATAATTGAAATTAGAAGTGTACAGATACCTTACTATTATAGAATGAACAAATACTGTTTACTAATACCTTCTACACGTTTCAACATTCTGGACGCTTTGCTTACAATGGAATAACGAATGCGAATAGTTTGTTGAAATAAATGAAGCCTTTTTATAATATGTTACCAAGGCGTCACGGCGATCACCTATGACCACCAATAAGATGAACGGTCCATTGGGAAAGAATGTTGTTTTACATTATCAATTTATTATTATTTTGCCATTATATGCTTTGAATAATAAAAATACTCTCGTGGCGTCCTGAGCGAAACATGATTTCGGCGTGGCAGTCAAAGTGTTAACCGTTTGAGTCCCAGGGGTCTTTGAAAAAACAGGATCGAAAAGTCCCGAACAGCGCGAAAGCGCTTGTCTTAATCGATTGCGAAGAGAAACAAAGGACGCAATAGCGCTCGTCATATTTGTTATTTTATGAAATACATCTATATTATCATATATGCGTACTATTAGTGTATAAATATCTCAAGTTTTGTTCAATAAATATTATTGAGAAGATAACAATGAAATACAAAATACCGTCAGTCGTCCGTAGCGTTCAAATGTATTGGGACTTTTCGACGCAAAATCTAAACAGTGCGATCGCGCTGGTTGGAACTCAAACGGTTAAATTGTATTAAAAATGATTGATTTATTATTTTCAGAGACGGTCAAGCGATATGGATGGATGAAAATATAAGATTCGGTAAAACAGATCGGTGCTCTACATTCAATAATCCACCCCTTTGTGCCAGTGGCGATTTTGAGATTAGGGTACTAGAAGTATATGGATTTGCTGGTGCTTGAAAAGAAGACAGAATTTGGCACTACAACGTATCAGCTTATTTAATTCCCTACTGCCATTTAGCGACTCTCTTCTATACATATAGTGTCGTATACATTATATACAAGTATCTTCGTATCGTATATGTGCAAAATTATCGCGCTTTTCTAGTCGCGGTATTTGTGATGCATCTTCAGTCGTTTGCGGAATACTAGTATTATTATATGTGCATGTTTCATTGTTGAGGCGCTCTAAGAGGTTCTGTACCGATTGAGATTACATAGATTTATCTCCTTCGTTTTATTACGCTTGTTTGTTCGATTATTTGTCTCGACGTTTGCAGAAATAAGACGATTTCTACGATTATTGTGTTGCGAATTCTCTAGCAGGACACAGAATGATATGAAATGGTTGCTAACGTATAGATCACAGTCTGCGACATGGTGAACATCGACAATAATCAACGTTAAGTCATCTTTAGTTATGTTACAAATCTTGATATCTAACATGTACATATGTAAGAAATGATTGATTATTTACATGAATACTTAATATTCATTGGACCAGATGCTGTCAATATATATATATATATATATACGTACATATGCTGCAAATTAATTTAACGGAATCTATTGTTAATTTTGCAGTTTAACAACAATGCTCGTATACGTATGTGTTAATGCCTTGCAATGTTTATTTACTTTAGTATTGTTACAACTAGCTTTAATGAATTGTTGAACGTAGGAGCGAGACAAACGAAGGAAAGAGTACTGTTTATATGTTACATATTGTGTCTGTCACGCGTTAATCGTATATGTGTATATATACACTACATACATATAATATGTATGTTAATCTCATATTAATTTCTTGTAAATATTATAAATAGTGCCCCTTGCGCAAGTAGACACACACGCAACACAATTCATACACATTCATATATACATTAACTTTAGTCGATTCATTCCACACTGACATGAACGCGTGACGATGAAGGATGGAGTGCCTAGTCGTTTGTATTATATACGCATTTTCATTATTGTCAAATGAATCAACTAAATTTATTGTATGTACATTGACGAATATCGAGCCAGCGTTGTAAGAAAGAAAACGAAGAAATATATTAATGGCAGGGGGCGAATGGTACTTTGAACAACGATAATGCCTTTTATTTTTTAGAGATGATTACGTTTGAAGAAAAGAAAATCGCGTGAAGATTGACCTGTTTTTTTAAAGTGAAATACGAAAAGCCATAGCTTTCATGTAGTATATTAAGGATTTGTATATTTTATATAGAATCATGTCGATAGTAAGATAACAACTAGTACCAGATATTGAAACTTATATGTACAGAGGAACAGTACGATGATTTTTTTTCGATATAATTTGTCGATACACTCTTCGGGCATTCTGATGAAACGTGCTAGTGTTACTATCGTTATTCTTTGTCTCTTTTTGTGATCAAATCTGTATCGATGTCGTACGATACATGATTAATTCTTAGAGTACCTGCTTCTTTGTTTAGTTTCTTGTTGTTACTTCTTTTTTTCCTTTTTCTCTTTTTTTTTTTTTGAATGAAAGGGAAAGATGAAGAGTGAAATTGAGCGTGCATGGAAAAACTGAAGGTGTCGATTTTAGATTCCTTGGTTGTGATGTAAAAGTGGCTGGTACCACTTTTGTCCGAGTGACAATACATAATTATAATGTTTGTGTAGGAGGATTATGTATCTTTCACCCCCCGTCATACTATCAACTGTAAAATAACGCAACAAATAACATGTGGAAAATGTGTGCGTTATTCTTGATATGGCTACGCGTTAAGGAGGAACACTCAAAAGCACTAGAAAAAAGGAGCCTAAGAAGAAACGTTCCGTACATCGGCTGAGTCACCTCTTTCAGTTTTACATTAATATAATCAATCACGTTAATTAGTTTTCTTACATCGACTCTTTATACAATCGTGCGAGACGCAAATGCAAGAATGACCGAGCAACACAACAAAGAACAATCAACATATTATACACGGCGATATTGAATTCAATTTTAAATATAACCAGTGTTATAATATCGAATTTAACTGCTGAATCGTTTTCTGAAATTTGTCTAACACCAACGAGATAGTTCATAGTGAAACAAAATAATAACGAATCACGTTCACTTAACAATGTTTTGTAAATCTACGATGGTACTCCCATGGTTCACACGAAGTTAGCGAAAGTAAAAGAGTACACTGCTGATCTCAACGAAAAGATACACTACGATAGGATAGCGTAAAAAATGTATGTGTTTTACATTACCAGAAATTTTATTACGCTATCAGAACGGAGTTGGGTTACTCAGTTTAAGCGTAAGAGGTATCATATTGAAAGATACTCGAGTGTATTTAGGACGATTTATTGTAATTTTAAAGATATATAGTTACATTTCTCAGAAATGTGAAACGTGAATTTGAGGTTAGGTTGGGGTTCACGATTGAAAGAAAGAAATAAAGCAATCGACAGAATTTATGTGTCTTACAAACACAATGCGAGTAAAAGTGCATTTTTGTGCAACACGTGAGAATAGTTGAAGAAAGGAGAATCTGCGTGTATAGAGTTCCATATAGTTAAATTATTGCATTATTAGTTTATATTTATACAATTCATATACAATCCATATGTTAATTGTTTAAATCAAAGTTTGGGTTTCCACGTTACAGAGTCTTTTTCTTAACTATTCCAAGGTTGTTACCAGGAGCGTTAAGGGTTGCAAATGCTGCTAGTACGATTATCTTTTTTTTTTATGAAATTATAGTCGCGTGATAACTGAATGAGTGAATATTTATTTATTGTGTATTCGTGGTCGAGAGAAAGGTAATAATAATGTGCAGACAATGGAAAGTATTATTATTCAAATTTTCTAACATAGCACAGCATAACATTAATTTACGTTAGTGAGTAATATATATATATACATATATATATACATATAAATATATTACATATATACGTACATACATACATATATACATATATACATATATTCATATATAAATATAAATATGCCTATAAACGATGAGAAAAGAAAAATAAACGTAATTGAATGGAGTGTTTTCAAGCTTTCCGCAGTGTTGTTATATTATAAATATATATATAATGTAAGTTATACCGTTTCCGAAAAAGAAGATTGTTGCCTCTTGATGCTACTTTATCATATCATCGTTGTGAATAGAATATTGTTATACACGAATTTATCGTCCCACTTACTGTTCCTTCCATTTTGAGAAGGATATCTTACACACACACATGTGACATTCTTTATTATATAAATATACTGCATGTGATCCTAAAAAAGCCAACATGTAAAACTAAAGTATAAAGAAAAATCTATTTAAAAGCATCCCATAATCCTAGAAATTGTCATAAATGAGAAGTAAATATAATTGCTTACGTTCGTACAGAAAAAATTAGTATAATTTTGGACTATGAATTTTAATAATACGTGATAATTTAACAAAATTTTCGGAACTTTGACAATCAAAAATAAAACATAAAATCAATTGCACTTTGGAAAATTTATAGTAGCTGAAATAATTCTTTTAAAAGTAATGTCATATAAACAGTGCGCTATTTTAAAATCGAAAATGGTTATTACAAACTAATATTTTTATAAGTAATCGTTCAAAATTAACGTATGCAATGAAAGTTTAATGGTTTCCATTGTTAACACTTTCCAAAGCATCTATTTAAATATTCTTTAGAAATATTTTACTAGATTTTCAACATATTTAAATCTTTATATTAAAAATTCTTTGATGAGAAGATATAGAAAATTATTAATTTTTAAAATTAGTCATTAAACTATTTTAATATGAAAATTTTTATCATATTCATAATTTAACATTAACCTTACTATATCCGGTCAAATAACCGATTTTAAAATTTAATTTAAAAGTGTACATTCATTGTTATATCTTTTGTTCGTCCAATTTCATGTAAATTATTATACTAACAAAAATTGAGAAACTGATTAATCAGGTAATGTAAGAATTTACATAAAGTTAGATGAACAAAAGAAATAACAATGAATATACAATTTTAAATTAAATTTTGAAACCGGTCATTTGACCGGGCCTACTAAGCTTAATATTAATAGTACATCCTTATATTTTTCAAGCACTATCACGATCAGAAAATGTGAGTCTAAATTTTCATTCATTACAGTGTTATTACTATCTTAATTAAAAAAAGCAACTTGAAAAAATTATTAAATATTTCAAGATCATTTGATCAACGTGTATCCATTAATTGCAAATTAATCTCAAATTTTCTCAGAAATGTTTTTCGTACAGTGACTCAACCGTTGTACAGCGATGTAAGTAGGGATAACACTTGTACGGCGTTCACGCAACATCTTCAAGCTACATCATGTGTAGTTGAAAAGTCACCAGTATTGTTCGCGCTGTGTTCTCTACAATTTCGACGGTGCGTCGCGCGTTCCCCGTATCCTTCGATCATCTATAGCTTCTTTTTAAATTGTACAACAATCTAATTGACGTAGATAGATTCACGAATTCTAAAAAAGGGAAAAATATGAATTGTCTGTCATAGACAGCGTAAGCTTTTAATATAGTGTGTTCGATAAAGTAGTGATTAAATGTACAAACTACGAAAGTGTTTGGAACCGATTTCACACGTGAACTGTAATCGTACGAACAACCGTCAAGAAAAATAGCGATAAATCTCTGTACTTCGTTAACATTCAAGGTAACGATATATATAGCTTCTTGTTGAAACACTTGCAAATAATTAATTGTCAATAAAAATAAATAAATAAAATTGTATGTTAGCCAATAACGACAATGTAACGATATATCTCTCTCATGAAGAAATCGTTTCTTCGAAATATATTTCGTAAGAATTACGAAAAGTGAGTTTTTAACTAAAGTGTAATGCTTTTAATTTTTCAAAAGTTACACCAAATGTCAAGTATATCAAATACTTTATTTTATATTTACAAAAAAATTGAAAAGCATCGTTTGTTAGTTATTGCAAGCGACAATAAAGAGATTATTTTTTGTATTACAAAACTGGCTTCAGTTTTTGGGAAATTTATAAAAGGAGGGGGGTATAGCCGTTACCTGAAGAACATGTAGCCCGCATCTTTTATTCGATGTCGTCTCGACCTATATTTTCGTACTGTTAGTTACACGTCGCCCTTTCAATTCCACACTTCCTCTTTTTTTTCTTTTCTCTACTCTTACGTCACCCATGAAATTTACCGGTAAACTTAATCGACGACATGATAAACTATGTAAATTTATGCAGGAAACAATCTATTTTCTAGATACGGTGTATTGTTGATAACTTAAGGATGGAAGACATCTATTAAAATAAGTGAAAAGATACGTTTCAATATGTTAGTTATGTTTATGTAACGCTACAGTTGATTTAAAAACAATTCTAACCATATTCATGTAATATTGCTCAATATATTGATCTGTAATACTGATAATATGTATATCTTTGAATTGTGATATTTTATCCTTTGTATCGTAGTGTATATGTGCAATAGCTTCGAGTAATGTTTGAAGATAATTAGCTGCCTTCTTTCTCTTTCAAGAAATTACTCTCGTTTAGCGATAATATGATGCTAATATATACGGACGGCGCTATTTTTAATGATTTACTTGATCTAATAGGAATGACTTGTACACATGTGCACGATGCATCACGTAACTAAGATAGAAGAAATTTACAGAGCCAGGAAAAATCATAATTTTTTAAATTAATAAAATACCAGGATTTATTATCAATCTGTTTTTAGGGGAAATTCTAATCACTTATTATAAATCTTTATAACTGTATCTATTTTAAAATCTATTAAAATGTATCTATTTCTTGAAAAAATTCAGTCATACCTAAATCTCTTATCTCCTTTCTTTTTCCGAAGTTTAAAATATTGTGTCTTCTTTGAAAATTTGTACTGTCTTTTCTTTATTTTTTTTTTTTTTTTTTTTTTTGTCGAAATCCAGTGTTATCAGTAAGTACGTTTGCAGCCTTTCTTTTTAGCAATGGTTGCCATTCGTATTTTGTGAATGACACCGGTGGTCTACGTGCTCAAAATACAAGATATGTTCACGACAAAAAGGTTCAAAGAATTCGAATCGTTCAGCATATATCGCCACTCAGAATCGTACTTTCTCGGCATAAAGAATCACAAGCAACTCGCCTTCTCCCGATTCGTGATTTATACTCTTCATTGTCGTTCTTACATTTACGTTGCCTTTAACTGCACTGAAAAATTTATTGACTTGCTGTGGTTCGATTGTCTGCCGCAGTTGTCCATTCACCAATTACACTCAATTTGTTTCTAATTGAATTTCAATAAGCTTACCGTGTAAAATGTTTATTAACGTCGAATAGAGTAAACTTTTCAGTTAGGCGATGCTTAAGATAATTAATTCGCGTGAATCACATGATTTAAATTTCTTTCACTATGTTAACGAAGTTAATCGTTTGCAAATCTTTGGAATATTTACAATTACTTCGTAATAATTTTATCAATAATGTTAATGATTTAATCATCTTAAACATCAGCTGACTGGAAAATTTATTCCAATTGGCAAACGTTAATGAACTTTTTTATCTTCGAGTCGAATTTTGCCAAAGTTAAATTTTTGAATTTGAACATTTTTTTGTACAAGGTTACTGTAAGTAATTCACTTGTTGTTCCATTACCCTGTATATTATCTTATCATCGAGGTTCAAATTGCAATGATAATATACGTGATAGAAAATATAAATATTTACGTATATTCTTTTATGAGTACCAAGAAAATTAGCCTAAAATCTAATCGCAGGTGACGCAAAAATTTCTTGCAAATGTTTCACAATTTCGGTCACGTTCATGTCATCCATACGTGTAGTTTCCACGTAAAACTTTTCAAACACGATAAACGTTTTTTACGTTATATAATTAACATCTGTCTGTGTACTTTTGTTACTCATACGCTCAATTTTTTATAGAGATAATTTCTGATGACTTTCTCGCTTAAAACTGGAAATATCGATAAAACTTCTTTTCCACTAATCTTTCATGTAATTAGAATTGCATCAAAATATATTTTAGCTATTTTCGTATACTTTGCTAAAAAGTTTACTTCAGAATCTATTCTTTTTTTCAATTTTTCCATCTTTTGACATAAATTCAGTTCTTATCATAATTAACGATTCTCGCGATAAATAATTGGCAATTAATTATGACTATGTCATATGAAATAATTAAAGAAACTGTAAAAACGATGTTAAATTAATCTTTTTTCTGTTCTGCTATCCTTCAAGTGTGTTTCTATGACCTAACTAATTGCTATCTTAAGCAACTCAATGCTTCAATTAACCAGTTAATTCAATTTAGCTTTCGCCTAATTAAACACCCTATTTCACCATCTCTAACGAGAATGATCGGCTAATTAAAAGGATTTAATCTCAATTGGGTGACTAGAATGTACAGTTTTTACAATCAATTTACTTAAGTACAAATTAATAAATATCCGCAGTCTAGTCATTAGACACTTCGCCATTGTTTATTTTACGTTATTCATTCACCTTGACCATTCCAAACAATAACTTACGAGTTCGATGGTTTTCAAAAAAAGCTAAGGGATCCGTCATATAAAAATACAAAACTGGCTTAATTAGCGGATACCATCGCGACACGGAAATAAGCCTTGGAAATTGATAAAACAAACGATTTAACAAGCCGACGCGCATTCCCCTCCAACGATAATCAACCGGTCAGCTACACCGTTGATAAGCGATAATTCAAAAACATATTACGCATATAATGTGTATGTGGAACGTGTTAGATGACAGTGAGTAATGAGGCAGTCGAGCGTTAATTACAATGAGACCAGACTTTCAATTGCGGGTCCAGGAGGAGGAGGAGGTCCTGCCAATGGTAAATTCATTCAGTTCATTCATTGCTGATGCGAAGATCAAATAAATTAAAAAGGAAATTCTTTCAACTCTCCGCTTCGATACATGCATAATCCTGCAGTTCTTGTAGGGTCTATATGAACCGAAGTGATATATTCCAATAGACATTATTAAAATATACACAGTGACTTGAATTAATTTTCGGAAACATTTGTTTCTAATACATAGTTGACTGTTTTCTAATATATTAAAACAAATATTGTTGTTGCTATTTATTCAATGTATACTTTCCCTAAATAAGAAAAAGGAAACTAAATAATACTTAATTTCATGCGGTATCTAAATATAATACGAGTTGCAGTAATATGGAATTTGAAGAAATAGTAATATTAGTTCATAAGTTTCATAAAGTTTCAAAGTTACGTTAAATTACAAGTTGCGCAAACAAGTGCAACGAAATTGCTAAACATAATGTTACGTAGGCTCTCAAAAGATAATCGGCCGGCTGGACATAGTTGATAATTGATAATTAACGAGCATCCAGACGAGACCAGCACAGACAATATGCAATCAGTTTTTCACATATTACCTATGACCTATTACTGTACAAATAAAATGATTCTCTTATCGGTTAACTTATAATTATAAAGTCACTAAGACCGTTGCAAAAATCTGTCAATCTTTAATTATCAAGTCTATTAATCGAACGGTTGATTTGTTCAAATATCTAAAATTTACTAAAAATCTACTAAAATCCACTACTAAAATCTACTAAAGAATAACTTCTCAGAACTGGTATTAATATCCACATAATGTTATCATCGCGTACAATACTCGATTGTGTTATAATTGAAAGATGACCTTAAACATGAGGCCAAACGAATACCTTAATTAGCTCGCTATTCTAATTAGGCTGACCAACGATTGGACGACCATGATTTTGCAGTTAGATGAGCGGATATCGCGCTAATTTAGAAATGACACACATCGTGCCTAATTCCGCGCTAGTTAAGGAGGCAAATGATCGAATAAAAATGAGTACATAATATGCACACAATGAAAGTGTATCTTAGCGGCGCGGCACACAAAGCGCTGCGCAGCATGTCAAATAGCTGCGCTAAATAAGGCTGCCAGATAACAACAACTGTACTCGCCGGTGGAATAATAATTGTGTTACGATACCTGGCGTAAATGTACTATGGCATTTTGTAGTGGTAAAGACAAAAAATGCATCTGTGTGTCTCAAGATCATCATACAGAAACTGAAGATATTCATCGATGGACTTTGCCGTGTCTTTGTGACGACCAGGAAGAGGTTTCTGTAAAATTAAATTATCGTCAGAGCAAGTAGCTGTTGCACATTACCATTCAGAAGTCTTATTACGTATCTTATTAAAATTTTTACTTTCCTCTATAGCCCTAAGAAAATCAATATGTAATTATTAAATATGAAATCATATAGAAATTTGGTCCAAATAGATGTGGTTTACAATTGGAAAATAGTATAAATTAGAAATTGCCAAGAGGCTGAATGTTTAATTCTTTCTTCCATAAAAGGAAAAAAGAGAACAACCTATCCTACGAGATAAGATGTCAAGTTTTTTTAACGATCATTAAAATTCTTTAAGCCTGAAAAGCCTGAATGGCAGGAACTCTCCACGGAGGATTCTTCAATGTCTGGGCTCGTCGGATCTTTACGTGGCTTGGAGGATAATAGTGGGAACACAGGGCAACCGTATCGTAGGCACAGCCTCGCTTTATCTCTCCACTCGAATTTAGGCGCTTTTCCGCTTCCTAACAACCAAGAAGCTTCGCCTTTTCACGTCGTCGATTCAGCACGAAGAAGATTCAGTAATGTCAGCGACGTTGTTTCCAGAAAGATTTCTCATACGATTCGATGGAGAACGGTTTCAGCTTCGATCGAGCTCACAGTATCACAGGTATTTACTTACGTATCACCATCTGTAACATTAATCTCTTAATGTAAGTTAAATTAGTAATATAGTATAATATATAATATAAAATTAGTTATATAATATATAACAATATATATAAAGTTATACAATATATAATTAATTAGTAATATATAATATATAATCAGTAATATATTATTAATATGGATTGGGAATCCAAGTGATAAATTAAATCTTCTTCCGCAGTTAACAGATTAATTAGTAGCACAATGACAATTTAAATAATTAATGTATATGTGTAGGGATCGTCGTTATGTGCTCAATACATCCGAAATCGTTTAAAACGATCTGGAATTTTTCACCGAAAGCTGGGTCTGAAAAGAATGAGAAGCGCCATGTTGCTTCCTGGAGGTGCAGTCGTTGGCGAAGTTTATCCAGAATTAGTATCAGTTGGAGCTGAACTGGAAAAGATGCATCCAAATTTGTTCAATCGTGTTGCACGACAAATCGGTTGTGGTAGTTTCTCATCAGAACAGTCTGCCAGCGAGGCCATTGCCGATATCTCCAGGGAAATGATCAGGAATGGAGAAATGACTTGGAGCAAAGTGATAGCCCTTTACGCGGTTGCTGGTGGTATTGCCGTAGATTGCGTACGTCAGGGTAAACCTGAGTATTTACCTGCTATACAGAGAGGTAGTTATTTTAAAGTTGAAATGCTATTCCTTTAATCTTGATCTCCTTACGCTTAAAAACATTTTTGATTTGAGGTATGACGGATGTATTAGAAGAAGACCTTGCAGCATGGATTCAAGCTAACGGTGGATGGGTAAGATGAAGTGCATTATATAAGGAAGATATAATACCCGAATGTTCTTTAAATTGAAAAAAACATATATTTTTAATTTCAGTCCGCTTTAGCAACACGATACAGACCTGTTACAAAAGAAACAACGTGGTATTCACGGAAACTTATATTTTTATTTTTATTCACCGTCTTGCTCATTTTTATGATCTCTATATTTTTAAAATTTGTAGTTTTATAATACATATAATTATGTAATATAATTACATAAAAAAGTGACTTATACTGTATAGTATTTAAATGTAAATTCTCATTTATGTAAAATATTTGTATACTAGATTCCAAAAGTTAAACAAATCATCGTGACATTTATCTCATCAATGATTAAAAATTTTGTTTAACTGAAATATTTGGAAACACAGGTGCTTTGTACTTTATTTTTATATATTTTAATAAGTAATTTGTATAAAGAAAGATACTGTTACGCTTTCAAGTATCCATTTCTTGCTTCATTGTTTCGTTCTTTTGTATTTCTGCTTCCGGTAATTCAATTTCGTCTCGCTTAAATGGAACCTTTTCAGTAGCTTCCTGGTGAAAATTTTTTGTCTCACTGCTTGGTAAAAATATAAAAATTATGTGCAAAATATTCGATATTGTGCAATGTGATAAATTTATTCAATTTACTTGCGTCTTTGCAACGTTTGCCATATATTCAAGAAAATTTTGGTTCGTTTCTTTCTTATTGATTACTCGAAGATATTCTTTTCTTGCGTTCAATACCTCATCCAGTTGCTTTCTGTGTCTAATCGCTAATTCTAATGCTCTAAATCAATAATTAATACATTAAAAATAGCAATATTTTTGAAAAATTGTTTTATAAATTTGAAAAATGGTACCTATTCCAATTATATATTTCAATGTTAATTCGTACAGCCTCCTCGGTTAATCCGTTTTGTAAAAGTATGCCTTCTGCAGTTAACAGATCTCCCGACAGAAGCGCCATTTCCGCTAATCTTTTTATTTTATTTGGTAGACTCTAATTTCAAAGATTTAAGATTATCGGCTTATTTAGAAAATGAAGACATTTTAATCTCATGTTTTTATTATTACCTTTATATACTGAATATAATTAACTTTATCGTATCGCGAAATTGCTGCATATGCTTCTTCCGCAGCATCTAATTCCTTATTGTCAGTTGCCATAACAGCCATGCAAGTCCACAATACTTCATTCTACTCATAATCTTTGTGTCAAGAAATTTCGATTTATTCGAAAGAAGAGGATAGATATTAATTACCTGAGCAATTCGACAAAGAGACAGTGCTTCTTTCCATCTTTTGTTCAGTATATGTTGATGAAGACTAATAAAAAACGTATAAAAGGAAGAAGCCACTAATGCTCCATCACCACGTCGTATCATTACCATTCCATTATAGACATTAGCTATACTTGGCTGTTTACCAAACTCACTAAAAGCATTAATAAAACATGTATTGTTATTGAGAAATAACGAATCGCATTTTATACAATAGAGTTAAAAACCTGCTTTCTTTATCGATCCTTGTTTTTCGTATAATCTTACGATCGCTATAATGCACACAATTAGGACACAACCATACAGATAATGTTGCATCCAACATCGCTGCTAAAACATTTGCATCAGTCGCCCATGCAATATCTTGTGCCATAGCAGCTAAACAAATAAAACGAACAAGTATAAAGGTATCCCTAGCAAATTGTATAAATAAATCTTTTTTTAACACTGCGTACCTATTTTACATACTCTACCAAAACCAGGGATTCGTATAGAAACTAGAAACAGATCTTTGTTTATGTCGATTAATGCTACTTGTCGATCAGTTATTCCGCCAACATGATTCAACGCAACCCTTGTAATACTTTGAAGATGTGTGTAAGTCTGGTTTTCTGTTATAGGTTTATTATAAGCCACTTCTAATACATGAAGAACTAAAAAATTTTGTAATAATCTTTATATATTTTTACTTCCTCTTTTTTATTTAAAAACTTATTTTATCATACGTTTTTCGTTACTTTGCGATCGTATAACTAAAGTATCAGAACATAGCGATACACAAGGTGGATAAAGTCGTTCCTGTGTTATTCCTTTCCATTTTGGAGTTCCTAATAAACGACCTTGATAACTGTACAATGATACGCTATTCCATTCAACTAATAAAAAATGCCTTTAAAATAATGCATTTATAAATTATTTCGTTTTCTTTTAACCTCTTAATATATTTTTAATATATAAAATAATTAATATCTACTTTTCTGCAAGAAGTACCGCTGATACACTAGTATTTTTTAAATCGAATATAGCAGGAGTATTCCAATTTGCTACCGAATAAACATGACACTGTGCCGGTGTAATTACAACTAAATAATCAAAACCAAATTCCAGCTGCACCACGCGATCCGATATCTCTAATGTTTCTCGTATTTCATTACCCACATTTCTGACTTCAATTACTTTTCTTTTGACCAATGTGGCTTCGTAATTATTCCATTCCAATCTTCTGTTTTCCGTTCATATGAAATACGCAAGTATGTATATATTTACATAATATTTTATTTTAATGATTTTTGTACCTGTCTATTATATGTCCTGTTGATACAGTTCCATTACTACAAGCCATAGCTACTTGTGTACTATCACTTGACCAAGCAATACTGTATATACTTCCAGAATTTATTTTTTCTAATGAATGAGACCACTAAAAGTATATGCATATCAGTAAAAAAGAGTACATAAATAAATAATAAAATATGTAATATGAACTAACTCCTGTTTTATCACAAAGTTTGATTGTGTTAAATGATCCAACAGCAAAGTAATCCCCAGAAAAGCTCCAGCTTACTGATGTAATAGGATAATCTCCTATGCTACTAGAAAATAGCTGAGTACCATTAGGATCCCATACCTTAAATGAAAATTTAATTTCTCATTGGTTCTTTCATTTGTATAATTAGATTTTTCTTTAAATTTGTCATATTCCACCTTATATCTACAATCTTCACCACCAGAAATTATCAATCCATGAGTGTGACTCCAACATAAAACCAAAACCAGACCATCATGAGCCAATAACTGAAAAAAGATCTTTTTTCAAATATTATTTCTTTCTTTAATTGTACAAATATCATATACATTTGTTAAATATTATTTAACCTTGCGAGGTTTGGAATTAGAATTAAGCGACTGAAAAGTTAAGTGAGCTCCCTGAGAATATAATACTGTCGTACAATCTGAACTCCAGGCAGCAGATAGTATGGGGAACATGCCTTTAACAACAACAGAGCGAAGCATGCCACTACGTGACCATACTTTTATCAAACCATCTTCACCAGCTAGGATTATGATAAATTAGAAATTTACCAAATAATAATTACTCCAATAACTACCTCATCTAAGATGTTTTAATTACCAGTCAAAAGTGCGGAGCCGTCACTACTCCATCTGCCTACTGTCGTTGCTCCTTTATGAGCATCTATGCTCTTTTCTATACGTCCATTTTTATTAACTAAATGATATTTTCCTATGACAAAGATATCAAAGCAAAAACTAGTAATATTGAAAAATGAAGTTACAACCAAAATAGTACATTTTAGTATTACATCTTTAAGTATGAAAACAAATACCGTCGGCTGTAGTAATTAACAGAACATCTAACGACTGTTTTTTAGTAATTAGCGCTGCATAATTTGGTCGCGGATGCCATTGCATGTCGGTCGGATAAAAATCATTAGGAAATTCCGTAACAATGCTAGAATGTGCGGTTCCACCTTCCAAATGCCACGCTATTAATAAATGATCCTCTCTGAAAAGGTAATCACTTAGATTATTTATATTTTTTCTCGTAAATACAAAATCATACCCGCATGAATAAATCTCTTCCGTCGAGCTCCATGCTACACAAGTTACCAAACGCTTATGACCATTACGATTTTGTGCAGATATTTTAAATCTCATTTTATACGTATCTGTCACCTTAACCCCTGTCTAAATGTACGTGTAAAAACGTTTGCGGCTTCACGTGAAATTACCATGCACGTAACATCGAACAACATTCTATACATATACAAATTCGATCGCATGCTTGGAGCAACCTTGAAGTCCGGGAATTTGTTGGTGTATAGTTACTATAGTAACAGAATGTACACCTGCGTATTATACTTTTGATGGGATGAGAACTCATCGGATGAAACCCAATTTTACACACGTTTATTAAAGCTTTCTCAATACAACTCATTAATCTTCATTAGCACAACCTCAGATTCCTCCCCACAGTACAAATAAATCCACGAAGCTGGCGAATCCTTGTAGGGATGTCGGCACCCGGACTTCACAACCTTTTCATTATTACTTTTATAAACGATGGTGTCTCATAATGTTACAAACATTTTTTTTTGTTTACGCGATGATACAATGCCGGCATTGGAAGATATCGCTTACATTGAATGCAATGTAATAATTATACATATATAAAATAGAACATTTTGGAGATAACGCTCAGATCTGTACAACCGAGAAATTATACATTTACTGTGTATATATAGTATGTATATATATATATAATATATCTCTATTCACGTAAATCTATATAAATGTACATACATGTTAGTTTGTATTATTCTTATACATATGCTTACAGGCTGTCGCGCAAATCTCGCGATGAATATTAGGATAGTTGGTCGCATGAAGATAAACGAATAAAATTGTACACCATGATGAAAATGAAACATGAAAATGATATGCTAGTAAGATAAAAGAAAGAAATACAGAGAAATATAGCAACAAAAAAGACGTGATACGTGATGACGAGACTTATGAAACAAGAAAAAAAATAAAAATAAATTTGGAGATTCAATAGACAGGATGTGCTGCATTGTCATATGCACACTTATCAATTACTCAGTGTATCATCGTTCCTATAATCAAGGAACAACCGTGCATTCTTACAACGTATTGATGACATAATTAGAATGCTCCCAAAAGTAGTTTGAAAATTTCACACTGTACTTTTAGAAAATATTACTAATCCTATATTATTTATTAAGAATAAATACGATAGTTTTACTCAAATACTACTATACATATTAATTATATCGCTGATAAAAAATAAATTGCGTTAAAAAAATTGAGTTGAATAATATATAAATCTTTTAGTTTTGAAAACTTTTTCTACAAATACAGTGGGAATTATTCAAATCATGTAACAACTATCCTGAGAAACAATCTGTACAGAATACATTAAACTCGTTTGATACTGCATAACAGCTTAGCATAAAACGCCTCGTGATATTTACACCTACTTATGTCACTACATCGCTCACTTTCTCAATTAATTTGCTTATTATAATTATCCTAAGAGTATGCATTATTAATATCATTACATCAACATCCTATGTTTTACTTTTATATTTTGATTAATACGTAACCTTGGTTTATCATTTTTGATAAAGGACGCGTTTTGCTTTCAGTTTCGCCAAATTCAAATCACTATTGACGATATCGTACTATTAATATTTTTACAAATGATATTATATGGTATCGATAATTAACATTTGCAATGTGCATCTCTCATATTTACAATATTCTCTAATTAAAATCTTTTACATATCTATTGTTTCTTGTCATAAATAATATGTCATTATGCTATGACACTCGTATTATTCCTCATCAGTTTTTTTTGGCATAGGAACCTTTTCGATGCACGCATTATCGAGCTTCTTTCTAATCAACTTCTTCTAATACTGATCGTTTTTTTAATTATGCGGATACAATTCATTTTCGATCGCAGCCCTAACATACTTTTTAATATAGCATACAAACACATGAACATGTGCACTTATAGTGAAATAGATATAGCAAGATCATAAAATTAATTAAAATTAGTCACATGAAAGTGTACTGATTTTAAACGTAAAAACAGTAATTTAAAAAGATCCATGGAAAAATAAGGTGGTCGACATATCAGGAGCATATGATCAGTTTATGAATGATTTTTACAAATTCAAAATTTTTCCATTTAGTCTATGCTAAATTAATTGATATGTTTACTTAACATTTAATTTATTACCTTGCTATATCTCTTTTACTAAAATACGCGTCATATTTGAAGATCACCCTGTTTATTAACTGTCAGAAAATAGCAGTGCCAGTTGACATATTACTATCGTATTTTTGTTGCACTGCATATAATCTCAAAAGCGTTTATGGTGAAATATTATATCATTTCAAGCTTTATAATTTGTTCGATACCTAATATTTTAATAATTCATTCATAATAATAACAACATCAGTTGTCTTAGTCACTCACTTAGATTCGCACATTATCATTGAGAATCTCATATTTATTAAATTTTTCGGCAATTTTATTCTAGATATTAGAATACAAACAAGATTTTAATAGGTAGAATAATACCTATAGCTGCCTTTTTTATATTTCCCTTCATATGTATATTTCGATTAGATGGTAATGCAAAATTTCATAAAACACCGATAAAATCATCCACTTTCCTCAGAAGGTAGCTGCGAATGTTTCAAGACACAAAATCATGTCCCGTTACATAAAATGCTTCTACAAAATTGTATAAATTACGAATTAATACATAATTACAGATCTTTATATACAAACATACAGTCTCGTCATGGAATGGTATGACAATATATATGTAGGTGTGTATGTGTATATATATTATCATTTAGTTTAAATACCCCTATAACTTCTTTAGAACTATAATACAACCATTAGACTAAAATTTCATATTACTGGCGGACATCGAACAATGTCAACGATGACGAAAGACAAACATCGTTATTAAAGTTCAACAAGTGAAATCGTCGATTCGATTTACACAAGTTCAAAAAATATAAATGCTTTTCGTAGAAAGATTTTTAATTTATATGATCGCGTACCAAATACCACAAATAGGTTAATGATTAAAAAGATGAGATCAAACGATCGATAAAGATAAAAAATAAACATGATCGCTACATATTTCTTTTGCTATAGGTTTCGAGAGCATAAGCAGACTTAAAAATGAAAATAACGAACAGATGAAAATAAATGTTTACAGAAAGAAGCTCAGTTCAACGCGTGACTGTTTCTACGTCTTAGGAACACTCTACTGTTAACTGGATAAACTCTAGTTAACAGTATTAATGAGCTGCCAAGAGCTAATTCAACAGGAGCTTGTCGACCACCAGGCAATCTAATGAAAACAGTAGCTACAGCAGCTACTCCATCGTCAGTAGGCTCAACTGCTACCGGTCTAACGTCACTGTGAAAGCTAACTAATTTATTACGTCTGCTTTTCCGTTGAGGCGAACTTGCATTACAATCGTTACCATCTCGGTCATAAATGATGGTAGCCGATGCGAATGGTCTTTTAGCCATATGCAACATCTCGACAACATGCCTTCTCCGCGCTCTTCGAACATCCGCCGCCTGTTTCGCTTTCCACGCGACTACGCAACCAGCTAAAAATAAGAAAAAACAAGAGAAAAACACAGAAAAAAAGACGAACAAATCGATGTGAAGTTGATCCTGTCGAAAGAAGATCATCCCGTAAGCAGCTCGACCACTGATTTCCGGATGTACAGGATCAATTGCCCTTAATGCAATATGAAATTTCGTTTCGTGAAGTTCATGTTTGTCCTGTGGCAATGTTAAGACCAACCGATTCGTAAGGTTTCTAACAACCAAGAACGTGTTTCTATTCTCGATTGTTAAAAACGTAGCCAAACCGTTTGCATAGCGTTCCATCACAATGTACTGAGGACCGATATTCCAAGTTGGTTCGGTAGTAGTGCCGTTCATAGCAAATGAAAACGTATTATGAGGATGGAATTCGACAATTTTCATTTGGCTACGAGTTTGTTTATCTAACCATGTATTATGTGGATCCTTACGCCATATAAATCTGCTATCCAATTCGACCTATAGGTAATTTCTGATTAGAAGATATCTAATATTTAATGCCTTATAAATAAAAGAAGTATTTTAAACCCATACATCTTGATATCCAGTTGATGAATTTAATGTAACAACGAAAGAATCATCCCGAGGACTAAGAAATAGGTCTAAAGCCCCTTGAGTTACATCCACCATGACTCTAATATCGACATTCATAAAACGTGGTTGTACCATATAAAATACCGTTTGACCGGGATTCAATGGTTTGGGTTTCATTTTACATTCATCTGTAATTAGTGAAAGGAAGATTACTGATTAGTGATTAGTGATTAGTGAAGATTAATAAAAAGAAGTATATAATTCATCAATGGAGAAATACGAACCATAAGATCCTCCTGATATAATAAGATGTTGCAATTTAAAAAAAATAATATTTAATTAAAGTATATAATATAATAATATAACAAATGCACATAGCAGACAAATTTAGAAAATGTGATAGAATTTTTATATTAGAATATTTTTAAAATAAAATAATAATAAAATAATATGATGATGAAACTATGGCATAAACCTATTAAATAACCTACCTATTAATTTAGAATCAAAACACATCTTGTTGTCAACTGTTACAGTTTTATAACACTGATGACCCATAGTTGGTGTACCAGCATAATTTTCTTTACATTTACTGCATTGCACCATCCAGCATGGTGAGCCACCAGTGTTTGTACCCTTCATAGGTCCACTGGTACAAGTTGGATCACTTTCTGTATTATTACCACAATTACACTTTTCTCCAGTTACAGGATCACAAGTGAATCCGTGTCCATGACATTCACAACTAGAAAAATATATTTTTTACATAATACATAGAATTGTAAGTACATCTAGTGTAATAGAATACGAGTAACAAAGTTCATATAATAATACTAACGGTCGACATACGTCCCGAAGATCTTCTGTTCCTCTGAAATAACCAGTCATACATTCTCCACATTTGTCACCTTTCGTATTATTTCCACAATTTACGCATTTTGCTTTAGCTACAGGGCCTTCAACTAATTGCTTTTTTAATAATTCTATAGACATCTTATCAATTGAATTTGGATCCTATAGAAAAATGATATTTTCGTTTCTAAAAACGTCGATATTTATTCTTATTTTTATATATAGTTGTAGTTTCAGTATGAAGAATAAATTACCGGTACAGTCATGCTTTCATTAATACATATTCGAGTATGCCCATTGCAATACTCAAGACATGGAACACATTGTCCATTGTCCGCTGGATTTCCAACAAACAAAGGCAAACATTTGTCACATTGTGGTCCCATAGTGTTATTATGGCACTCTAAGCAAACATCTAATCTATCTGGGCCGGCGCAATTGCTATGACCATTACACTGGCACTGAATTGAACAATTGGCACCTACATAACCAAAGTCACAACGACAAACATTTGGTTCTATACACGTTCCTCTAACGCAACCTTGCGTACACATCGGGACACAAATTTTTCTAAAAAGAAAAAAAAAGAATAAATTATGTATATTTATAATAAAAATGTTATAAATATAAGATATATAAACAAATAATTCAAAATTCATACTTAAACCTTACCTCCCAAATTCATTAAATGATGATGGGCTGAAATAAATATAAAATAATTAATAAATTATCTATGCAATAAAATTAATGAAAAAAGAAACAAAAATTACGTTTCAGTTTTATATCCGTCGCCACACATGCATTCGAACCCTTCCTCTAAGTCGAAACATTTTTCACTTTTTGGAGAGCACGTATGGTGTCCGTTCGTACATTCATTTTCTGGTGGACATCTTACATAGTGCCAAGAAAATACTGGTTTTGATATTACATTCGGGATTAGCATTGTAACATTATCTAGGATTCCCAAAGACTCTAAATAATATAGGAGTGGTATGAATGCTGTAATTTTTCAAACGAATTACTAAACATTAAATACTACATATTATATTTGCTTACGTGGTTCAGTTTGAGGAAATTGTTGATCGTATAACATTCCACATGTTCCACCAGCTGGATGGTCTGCTGGTGCTTCAAGAGAGCCTTCTGTACATATTCCTTGTCCAGTTATATTGGCTGAATCCAGGGAACACCACCCACAATGCGAGTGTTTCAAACATGTACTGCATTGTTTAAAAACTGAACATGGTTCAGGACAATGATCCATATCGGAACTACGTAATACTAGTCCACATACACCGCCAGCACAATATAGAGGTTGATATGACGGAGAAATACACTACGATTTGTTAATTGATTGTAAGATTTCAGATAATTAGTTCCAGTTTCTCAAAATAATATATTTACTTCATTAAGCTGCGTCGACCATCTACATTCCCGCCAACCACCTTCGGCCCCCGTGCCTTTTAGACAACTTCTACAGTCTTTATGATCAGCGCATCGTTTTTCACATTGCGTACTTCCCATTTTAATACTTGATCGTTCAAAAATGTCATCTGGTACACAATTCCAATCGTATACGGGTTCTCCTGTTACTGCAAGTCCTAATTCCGCTATAAATGTTTTGAAAAATTATTAAGAATAAAAACTATTAAGCGCTTTGCATTTTTTGATATTTTTTTTAAGACTCACATGTTTTTAAGACCTGTCTTGTCCACACGCAACCTTCAAGGCTATTACATTTCTCACAGTCACTTGCTGGACATTGTCGCTCTCCACATTGATTTACATCTGTTACCGATATTTGTCTAATATTGCATTTATTTAATTCATCGCAATCTTTTTCGGACGGTATGCACTTTCCATTTGGACAGTTTGTACACCATTTGCATACTGGCTCGTCATTTTGATAATATGGCCATTCTGCTAAACATTCTGTGCAAGTTTTAAAATTTTGACATTTTCTACTGACCATCCATTCTGAATTACAAAAAATTCCATTTGATCGTTGAGCTTGTGTAACGTTAATATCACATCTAAAGCGGATATTTTTGTCATATAGTTGAAATCACTTATAAATATGTTCACCGAAATATAAAAATTTACCTGTCATCTTTATTAATTGATACTTCATTAGAGAAACAAAATGAAGCATTTTTTCCACTAATTGTGATAACAGAACAAAAGGAACATCCAAAATATTTTCTGCAAGTGATTTTGTCTGTCCAAAGATTACACAGATCTTCTGGTATGCTTATAAGTGTGACATGACTTTTAATTCCACCATCAAAACCACCAACTACATATACAGCATTAGATTCTGGATCAGCATGAGTCATTGCATGAGCATATGCTGGTGGTGGTGGACTTCCAATAACTTCCATGTCTTTTGTTATTAAACGAATCCATAAATTACATGAATATTTATAAGCAATTAATGAATCAGAAGTATTATGTGGATTTTGACGACCACCAAATATTACCATATATTCATCAGTAGTGACAGCAGAATGAAGAAATCTAGCTTGTGGCTGTAATAAAATGTTATTTTTATTAAAAAGAAAAAACTAAATAATAACTGATGAAATATTTACTTACCAAACTACTTCCATCAGTAAGATCATCATCAAATGGTGGAAGTACAGACCACGTGCGAGTTTTATAATTCAATGCATATAATTTATTAGAAATAAATGTTCGATTTATCGCATAAGTGTATCCACCAAAAATGTAAAAACTATCTGACTTGCTATGGTATACAGTTGAATGACCATATACTCCTAATGGTCCATTTCCAATTGTATTTATTGTATCCCAAGCTTCGGTTTCTAAATTAAATTCCCATACTGTATCGAGGTAACCATACTTAGGACTAAATCCTCCAATTAATATTAGACTTTCTGATTCTCCATTTCTACGCAAAGTTAATGTATGTCCCGCCAAAAGTGGTGGTTCTCTCTTAAATTCATCCTGTATAATTTGCATCCACCTCTGATTTTGCAAACTAAATTTCCAAAAGTCGCTTAAAGTGTTATTCGATAATCCTTGAATATCTTCTTGTTTCATTGACAAACCACCATAGACATATATTTGTTGCCTACTATGGACTATTTCAGTTGCATGGAAATATCTACCTTGAGGCATTGTTGCCTCTGAAGTAGATTCTACTGTAATAGGCATCCATGTATTATTTTTAGTATCAAAAAGTCTAATATCATTTAAAGGACCATGACTAAGAGAGTATCCCCCAAACATCCATAAACTACCCCTTCTGTCAGCAACCAACGTATGACCAAATCGCGGTAAAGTTTTTCTCAGGTGGTCTAAATGATCGGCTAAGTATTCGGAGTTAAATAGCTCAGTAAAAATTAACTGATGTTCTTTAATCTTAACTGAGCAATCACGTCCTCCATAACCAGGTGTACAAACGCAACGCCCGTAACCTTTATCGCAAATTCCTTGTTTCTTAGATGAAGTGCAATTATTAGGGCATATTTCGATATCACAGCTGATTCCTACAAAACCAGCTTTACATAAACAATTACCATTACGGCATTCTCGATTTCCAGGGCAGTCATTACATGTCATTATCAAATAACTTGCATTGAAACCTTCTACTTCGTCCAATTGTTTATAATGAACAGTAAGAAATCCAGACTTAGCTTCTACAGTAACAGGATAATCTGTACTTTCTGTACAGTAAACACCTAAAAGTTGACTCTGATGACTAGTCGATGATGAAACAAATTGAGGAAGTCCATCATATACATAAACACTATTTTCTTGGCAACTAACATTAATATCATCATGTATAGTAAATTGTATGACACTTTGAGTTCCTGAGAGCATGTTGTCTGATGAAAGATCTGTTTTTGGACTTACTATCCAAAGACACTCTCTTGTTGGAGAATCTCCAAGGTGACTTTCCCATAATGATAACTGTGAGTGTCTGCTGCCAAGACCTTGTTTGCCGTTTCCTTCTCCTCCAAGCATACCTCGAGACATACAACCATAGTAACACATTCCGCCATCTCTTGGATCACCATAATAGCCTTTTTTACAACGTTGACACATATCTCCTTGTGTATTATCACGGCAGAAGCATACACCAGTTTGCCGATCACAGATGCCTAAATCTTTGTCTCCATGTTCATTGCAATTACACTTTCTGCATCCAAGAGGTGTCGTAGCATTACCATAACTGCCTGCTTTACATTTTTCACAATATGTACCATTAGTCCAATCTTGACACTTATCACAAATGCCTGGTCCTTGTAAGCAAGTGGAATGATTATAGCAACCACAATTTGTTCTACAATCTGGCCCTGTCCAGCCAAGGTTACATTCACATTTATAGTCAGGTGCTTCACTACAGTAACCATTTACACATTTCTCATAACAAGTCTTAGTACAGTTTTCTTTGCCATCTCCATTGAAACCTCTTTTACACTGACAGCTAAAACTACCATGAGTATTTGTGCATACTGCATTGGGATGACAATCATGCAAACCCAAATCACATTCGTCAACGTCTGGACATTGAGCGTATGCCCAACCTGATTCATCTGTTTCTAAAGTAGTATTTTGATATTCATTGATGACTAAACTACAATTGACGTGCGGCTGATTAAAATCTCCTTGTACACATGCTCCTATAATAGGGTTTTCTAAACTGTAACACCACCCACAACTTAATGAGTGTAAACAGTTCGAACAGTTTGTGTGCCGACTACAGCTTTTGCATTGATCATTGCCTGTTAAAGATGATCCAGACCTTGACGTTACTCCCATTAAACCAGCTTGATCCATCCATTCTCGACACAAACCAAATTGATATTCAGATGTATATACCGAAAAAGAAAAACATTCCTGCGTGGCCTCACACCAGACGCATCTTCCGCGCTCATCTAAACATTGTGTACAATTTGAACGTTGTCTACAAGGAATTGGACATTGATCAAAACTAATAACTGCATTAGGCAGTCTACCTATTCTTGCACAACGAGCTTCCTCTGTCCACCATTCACATAAATTACTACCAACACAAGATTCACATGAAATATAATTAGAACAATTAGCACAAGCTGAAGGAGTGATAGTTAAATAATGCCACTCGCGAATAGGATTCCCATCTTCGTCCCACTCTACATCAGCTACACAACTTTCTGTTTCGTTAATTGAACGTGAGAGACATTTATTGATGATATCACACCAGCCGCACGAAGAATCAGTTAAACAGTGAAGGCAATTTTTATATTGATGACAAGAACCGTTTTGAAATGGCTCGAGATATTCAAATGTAAATACTTTTGGATTCTCTGTTTTTTTGTTGTGAGTAATTTCCATTTTACTAGCATATGCGTAACTTGTAGTAACCATTCTTTTCGATTCGAAATCTAATAAATATCTTCCTGGCAACAACATCATTTGATGTCCATCTGGCCATTTTGTTGGAATACATTGCGATGTCTCGGCAGTTAAATTTGCAACTAATTCCTAAACAAATTTAATGAAAGAATTTATACTCTACATTAACATACTATAAAGCAATTTAAATTGTTAAATTAAACAAAAAATAGATGTGCAATTTACCAATTCCTGAGGATCATCGCTTCTTGATACATGTAAAGTTGCACTATTATAACTGACACAAATTTTCAAATGCTCCACTGTGCTATCCCAAAAAGATTGAGGTGGTCTGAGAAAGCCAATTAATCTAGCAATCATTTCTCCTCCAAGTGCTGATTCTGTTTTTGCTCCTTGCATAGATGGAACATTAAAATCTACCGTAGTGGCATTAACTATTGTTACAGAGTCAGGCTGACTAAAGTTTACTGGAGGTTTATATTTTAAAAATGTCAATCCAGGCCTTTTATCCATTTCTCGACATTCTTCAACTTTCATAATTTCTGTGCCTTTCGGACCCCACCATCCAGGTATTTGTGACGGTGTATCGTCTCGAAGACCACAAACACCATAATTATCATCTTTATGATGACAACGTGCGTTCTGAACACACCACGTACAAGTTCCGCGATTTAGCTTATTCGACACAGATTTTTTTCCACGTGCAGTTGTACCCCATCCTCCACCAGGTTGGCCATGTATTAAACAAGAATGACAATCTCCAAGTGCAGGACAAACGCCTAGACAACGCGTTGTTTGAAGATTTGTTGTACAGTTACTACCAATAGTTCTGCCATAACATATCTAAAATAAATCAAACATTTTTGATATTAAATATTCATTACATAAAAAATAGTAGTTACGTTTTCTATATTAGGAAGATACCTCGTCTGCTGAGCACCAACCACATTCTGGATTAGCTGTGCATTCCATCAAACTTTTATGCCTTGAACAAATTTGCTCAGGTTCTATATTATCGTAATCTCCTGGTGCAAGCATTGGCGGTAATGTATATGCAAGCAAATCTGCATTTACGTTTCCATGATAACCACCGACTAATAGCAATGTATTTCCATTCCGCACATCTGCTGCATGTGCAAATACTCCCTGTTGTTTTGGATAACGAGAATCTAGAGTATTATAATAAAAGTTCTAAAATGAAAACAATTAAGATTTTGCTTGATTTTTATTTTAACTATTGAAGTTTTCATTTACCTTTGTCATTTAAACCTAGTACATCATGGCTTACCCAAGCATGACAGCCTAAGTGATAAAGATACATCTGATTATCATAACAAATTTCTTCTTTATTGTGTCTATGAGAATATCCGCCAAATACAACTAGATAATTCCCTGAAAAAATGTTTAATAGAATTTAATATGTATTTAATATGTATTTAATAGAATTTAATATGTGCTTTGTGATTTATTTACTAACAATTACAATAAAGACATATAATTACCTATAATATTACAAGTATGAAATGCCCGTTCTCTTGGAACATAAGTATCTCTCAAGTGTGCTCTCGGATAATGAATTTCAGACCAAACTTTTCTGTCAAGTTGAAATACAAACATTCTATCTGATAATTTACTGAATCGTGCTACACTGGCTACTACTCCTCCATAAACTAATAAAGAATTAGTAGCATGATGATACACAGTGGAATGTGCAACTACACGTACATCTAATTCTTTACCACCTCGGGGGTGTACTTCTTTCCATCTTTCCGTGGTTGCTGTGGGATCAGCTAGAATTGAAACAAATTTAATACAAAATATTTTTCTTTCCTTTTTTGAATAATAAAATAATAATAATGATAATATCATAATAATAATAATAACAACAACAACAATAAAGTAATAATTATAAATAATAAATATGCTTTGTTCAATAAACTTACATAAATTCAATTCAATCTTATACAAACTCGACGAAAATTCACCATCAACTGTACTACCACCAAAAAGATAAATATAATTATTTGCTAAAGTAAGAGTATGCCTTGTTAATTGCGGTGGATAAAATGGAGAATCTTTTGCTCGTAATGTCCAGGTGCGTGTGTTAACATTGTAATGCCACAGTTCATTAGATAAAGAACCATCTTGTACTTTCCCCCCATATATAACAAAACCACCTACCAATTATATAATTTGTAAATCATACTATAATTGTGTTAATTCTTCTTTTCATATTTTGAATAGGTGTACGACTGACCGTCATATCTACAAGCTGCGTGACCATATCGCGGGCTTGGTGTGGGTAATTTATCAATTGGTGATTTAGTAGACTCATTTTTTGCCTTAGATTCTTGGGCATAAATGTTGTCTCTAATAGAATCTTCTGCACTTTGTTCTTCCCAATTTAATACACCACTTTTTATATGAAATTTTTGATAGGGATTTAGGTTCTCAAGATTTCTACGATGTCTAATGTAACAGTAAGTAAATAGAAAAAATACCATTAACTGCGAATTAACATTATATTAATATTCAGTAATTATATTGTGTATCTTATTTTTTACCTTGTAGTTTGCGCATATCGAGGTCTAGGACGTCTAGAATGTTTTCTCCTAAGGTCATCATTTCTTTCTATCCTAACTGTACTTTTACTTGTTTCACTATTTCTGCCTTCATGAATTTTTTCTTCGCGATTTTTATGGTCTGCACTTCTAAATTTTGACCAGTCATGTCCATTTTCTGCATTTCCAAGATTACGTGAACTAAAAGTATTATTGTCTTTAATGCTAGAAAGTACTTTCCACATAAGGGACGATTTACGAAGACCATATAATTCTTTTTCATCTGTATCTGTCCGTTTTAATTCAGTAGCAAGAAGCATAGGATCCAAATATTCTGCAGATGAGATGCCTTCTGTTTTAAAAATACATGGTAAATAATTTTATAATACAGCACATATCCAAATATTTGTAATTATAATAAGTATATTTAGTACTTTTTGTTTACCTAGTTCATTACCATACTCGTCTTCCCATTGACTTGCGCTAAATCGATACACTTCCAAATTACTGAGTATATAATTCAAATCATAGCCACCAAACACATAAAGAGAATCAGTTTCTTTTATATAAATTGCAGTATGTGCTGCTCGTGGTCTTAATCCACCTTCTGAATGAGAAAGCCAGTGCCATCTATTTATCATATTTAGTAATTAGTAAATGCTAACTAATAGTGTTATATTTAATATGATAATATATTTAGTAACAAACTTGTTGCCCTCAGGATGAGTTCTGTGTAATGAACAAGATTGTCCTGAGTATCCATTTTGACAGTCACATCGTTTTAAACCACACTCTCCATTATAACTACAATTATTTGGACAAAGAGCTCTGGAGCAATCTCTGCCACCCCAATCATTTTCACAAAAGCAAGTATTATCAATACATTTCCCATGATTTGTACAATTATTTGAACAATTTGTAACTGAAAATTCTGCATGGAAGCCATCCAAAACATAATTTGTATCACTGTATAAGAGTATTAACATCTATAAAAAAGAAAATGAAGTTACTATATTTTTAATAATTATAAAATATGAAAGACTTTAAATTTACATACATAACCAGATGATGATGTCACTTGTTGTGGTTCTGTTTTTCCACTGAAACTACCTAGGAGTGGAGATCGAAAAGAATCTCCATCATAAACAAAAACATAATCATAACTACATTCTGTTCCCATGGTACGAAAACTTAAAGTGATAAACTGGCGACTGTTATTTGCTGCAAACAATTATAAGAAAAACAATAAAGAAATATTCTTATAAATATCATATTAAATTTTTTACCTTTTATAAGCCATTCACAATGCGAATCTTGAGTATAATTTGAGCCCAAAGGTCCATCACTAATGATCCCCCAAGAATCAGTAAAAACTTTCCTAGTTTTATCACATGGAATTTGTTTTGGAGATGTCTGTGGAGCTAATTCGAAGCCCCGCAACAGGCAACTCCATATTGTAATCCATAGCGTGGTGGACAAGACCCACCCCATTACAGTATATTCGCCTCACTGCTGCTTGATAAAGTAAAACTCATCATCCACGTTCATTGGTCTGTTTTTTAAGTAAGTCGGTTGTAAAAAGCTCATATAAAGAGTCATATCTGAAAGAACATGCTTTTCGTTATTTCAATTATTAATAGCATATAACATAGTTTTTATTTATGAAATATAATGTCCTTTTTCTATATAATAAGAAAATAATTATTATTATTATTATCAGATAGATAATTTTGCATGATTAATTATTAGAACAAAAACAATTATATGCTCATGTAAATCTATATACATGTTTTATCTTGAAACCATCACTATATCATATAATAAATATAGAAAAGCAATAATATATACATGTATTTTAGTTTACTAATAAATTAAATATAAAATTAAGAATTGAATGAAAAGAATTAAATTAAATTATTATCAATGGTATGCAATAAAACTTTTTTATTATAGTTGTTTATACAAACATTTATTAGCCAGTATTGTTAGTTCTGTATTATAAAAACAGTCTTAAATCACATCACAGTGTTCAAGTATACCGTATCACAGTCACGTTGTACAATAATCATGCAAGCGTCAAACATATCGTGACTAGAACTTTACACGCTTATTAAATAAAAAAAAGTTAAAACAAATATTGATTCATAAATACTCTAGTCTAAAATTTGTAACAAGCAACAAGACAACAAAACACTATAATTTTTATCAATTGAAACAAAATCAAGAATAACATTCTTTAACTAAATAGATACGATAGAACTTCAGCTGCGATTGAATCAAAACATTATGTACATACACACACATACACGTCAGAAAAATCTGCACCGTGCTATACTTTGAATAGTTGCATTCTCTGAACGCCAGTTATTTTCAAAATATGTATCCCGATTATCGTGACTCAGATATTGTTATGACAAACCGATAAGCAGTAAAATAAATGTGCAAATACAAACAGACAAGAATTATCGTGTAAACTCTGTTCAGCCTCGCCTGTTGACACCTTGGCTGTCTCTGCATACGAGGTCAGGGTGGGGGCTCTTCAACCGCCATTAAATTCCCTTCGTTTCGAATGCGGTCTCAATATTCGAAAGTTTCCAGGGACACTTCGATTGAAAAAACGCCATACAAAATCGCTTTCCGTCATAGGATCAATTTGGTTCAATTCATACCCACGTGACGTTGACCAAATCGCTTATATATTTCCGCAATAAAATTAAATCATTTTTTTATAGAATTTTTACACGTTCGCTCCTTATAATATCAAGATGTAACGTAGAGATGGATGATTTTTTTATTGAATACTTAATTGTATTAAAAATAGACGCGTGGTAACTTTCTTTGCAAATATGAAACGTTGAAAAATAATAAACTGGATCCAAAACTGAATACACAAGTAAATTGTTTTTATTAATAAATGTCTAACTCTTTTTTTAAATATTTGTGATCTATAATCTAAATATATTATATTAATTATATTTAATCTAAAATTATCATGCTTTTTACTTTATGAAAGAGGTATTTATGGTCGAGTTATGTTTCAAAACTATGAAAAAGTAATAAAAGATAATACTCATATATATACATATATACACACATACATACATACATATATGCGCATATGATGACATTATTGATTTTTTATAATTCCATGTATAATTTTCGCAAAATTTAGCAAAACATTAGGTAGGAATTCTTTTGTGAGGACAGAGAGAGAAGAGACATTTTAGTGGAATTTGTGTAGTAATAAACTTAAAGATTAGTTGTAAACTTTAATTTTCGAAAACTAGCGTTTTTCATGAATATCTATTGCAAATACTCACAATTTATTCTTTTAAATTTTATTCCGGAAATAAGTAAATATTGTTACAATAGTAATTGCATTCACATTTAAATAATTTATATCACAAAAATAGTCTAGTTTAGAAGTTAATATTAATGTTACCACATTATGGTCGTATTGCTCACATGTATAATTTTAAATATGTTATTATATAATTAATATATTATTTATAAACACGAGGCATTAGAATCGTATATCCCGTTGATTCTTATAAGTTGAATAAGTTAATTACAAATGTAAAAAACTGTTTAAAGTACAGTTAATTAAACAATTTTCCTAAGTAATAATGATGATTACTTTAAGTAATCTTAAAGTATCTAAGATTTATGTATAAAATATCCTAAAGAATAAACAAAGTACTTTGAAGATTTAGTTATTATGTAATTTATCTACATTAATAAATAAACTGTATGAAGTTTTAATTTTTATTTATCACATCAAAATGTATTTGAAGTTAATTATCTCGACCTTCGATATAATTTTCAGCTAAATAAAAAGTAAACGACCTATAACGTGTTAACTGCGTATCATATTCGACATTTATTTTCAAATCAGGTACTTTGAGTAATCAAGTTAGGAGCTTCAAATGCAAATGCAAAAATATTATTTCTTATTAGCTTTTTTAATGTTCATATGTGCGTGAATATTTTTGTATACTTATAAAATCGATTAAATATTATCGTTATAATTCCTCGTTGTATATGCTCGAACTATCGTTTAATAGGGGAAAGACAAAAACAGACACAAGATTAGAAATCTGAAATATATATGATGTTTATCAGTATTATACACTTGAAGATTGTAATGCAATAATACCTACGTGTGTCAGAATTTGCAAAATTCTACAAATGTATTTCAATTATAAACTTGTCGAATCCCGATTTATGTATGTTTATTAACTGGTTTATTATAATGCATAGCCTCTATGACAATAGAAAAGATCAGTAACCAACCCCCTTGACGCACTGTACACATGCATTTACATACGTGATCCCATAACATATTTGTGGTATACTTCTCTAAACCATCAACAGATATTCTGTATATTGTTAGAATCATAACGATTGATACAATCACTCTCTTTAGTTGTATAGCGTACTACCAATGCGGTATAACGGTATAAATTATCTTCTCTGTTCAAAAACTTTGAAAAGATATTCGCGTGCTACTCATTTTGTCACTGATGAGGTTATCGGATAAGATTAAGATTGATCAGGCATAAAAGTCTGGACAAAAGAAATGTTATCTATAAAGCGAATGAATAATCTTATTAAATTTTACAATTGTACTTATTTGTCAAAGGAAATCAAATAAATATTTGTAACAATAACCATATTATTATTTAATATGGAAAAGAGCGTTTTTTTTTCTTTTCTACAATTATACTGATTTTATATTTGCATACAATTATTTTTTTTTTAATTTAATAAAGGATTTTTTACTTTGTTTTTCTCTTAATTCATATTGTAAAATACTTTGAAACATAAATAAGTGAATCTGAAATATGTATATTTATGAAAATTAATTATTGGCAGCTTTTGTCTATATTCAAAGCTGTTAAAAACAAATCGCATCGTTCTTTTAAAAAATGTTTTTGATAACTTATTACAAAAAAGTATACATTCGTGACATCATTCATTTGTCAGTGTTTCTGTCAATTTGCATTTCTTTTTTATTAATGTTTAATTAACAAAGGAAGGAATATATATAAGAGGGGTGACTTCTTTCTATGAACTAAATGAAATATTGAGAATATTTGTACTAAAAACTTGCAACTCCTGTATTCATCTGCCATAGACAGAATAACAAAAGTTGATATCTTTTCCTACAGCCATTGAACTTTATCAACATTAAAAAAAAAGGCCATTGTATAAAGTAAGACATAATATGAAATGGACAATTAAGTCGATCGATTGCAGGAATGATAAAGTGACGTGAAAAATACAATCGGTCGTCTTTCTTGTGCATTATATGAATATATTCTGTGTAATGGCCGTTAAGGTGATCCACTTTTACGGATCTAGGACTGTTGGGAAAACCAGAACTGTTTAACCCCTTTAGTGTAAGTATTATAGTAAATTATAAGTTACAAAAAATTTTCTTCGGCTTCGTCCTTCCTTTTGTGGTAAATCTTTTTTTAGGTAGTGTCTTCTGTGCCAAACCATGACATGAATGGCTTCCTAAAGGAGAAACATCAAAGACAGTCTTTCGCAGACTCATCCTCTCCGTAAATTTCTGGTAACGCTGTCGTTTGGCCACATACTAAATCTGAGATACTTTTAGCTTTTACAGAGTGGCCGAAGGATTTTGCGCAAACGCTGAAATCTTTTGTCATTTCACTGATCTCATTGCTCTCCTGATGGTCACATGTACTTGGTAATTTAATGGTTGACATGGGATATATATTATCACCAAGATTGTTCTTACCAAAAGATGCGAGTGAGGATGTAGTTGACGTGGTTGTAATCATATTTCGCGATTTGTCGATCTCCATGTAGTATTCCTAAAATAAATTAAATTGTGCTGTTCGTTTTTTCCTGTATTTGTAAGAATATAAATATTAGTACGACTACTAACCTTCTCTGTATTCAAAGAATTAGTAATTTGTGGTTGCGGTGCACAACTTTGATTACATTGTGCCAAAGCTATTAGTGCCTTTTGATTTTCTCTTGCATCAACCAAAAATATGCTTTCTTTGACTTCCTTTGCGTTGTATTCATCAATTCTACAGATAATATTAAATAATTATAACATATCTTTGTTTATAAGTAAATAATTCACGTGCTTGGAGATTACTCACTTGTCATAAATTACTGCATGCAAACCAAGTTTCTTTAAATGTCGAATTGTATCTTTATCATTATTGTCATCTCCCCAGCAAAAGATGATTAAACCAGCATCCTTTACAAATTTAACTTGTGACGGATCCCTAAGAATATCTTCGGTATGGACATTAATTCCTAAGATATCAGCTGCTAATGCATGTCTAACAGCCATTGGTACAGTTTGACATCTTGGATCATGATAAGTAGGATATTTTGAGGTAATGCCTTGTGTTAAAAATACTACCGGATACTTATTTTGTTTAAGACGGATCATGGCACAGATATCTGGATTAAATGATGAGAAAACGATTTTCCTATCTCCCCCATATTCTAGTACGACTTTCAATATAATATCCAAATATAGATTGAGATCGAAAGGATGGTTAAGCTCGAACGTGCCATCCTGTGTAAAATAATAAAAATAAAATAATAAAAATACTAAATAGATAAAAAAATAAATTTATTACTTTTACCTTCAATTGCATAGTCCATTTAATTTCAATATTACATCCGACATGTTGTTCTAATTCTTGTAATACTGTCTGAAGCGTTGGAAAAGGCTGATGGTCTTCTAAATCTTCATCAAAAAATTTTGGATTCTTTTCACGACCTTCAGCCACATGATAAACCTGTAAGAAAATTTTATTTTGTAAAGGATTTATAAAATGAAGCATTTCGTCAACGTAACGCTGTTAGATCATAAAAAATTGGTGAAAGTAGTACAATGTTTGACGTAAGAGACTTTTTTGAAGCCAAATAAAAGCAAACACTCTGGAGTCATGTGAATATATTAAATATATAATATCATGGAAGGCATGATATTATCTACATGCTGTGATAATGTGATTTTTTATACATATTTTCGATGAACAAGTTCGCGCCCCCGTGCGGAGGCAAATACGCACAGTCAGAGGGGAATGAAACTGGTGAAAGATTATTAAAAAATGATCTTTAAGATCTTTAAAGCATTTCTGCAAAAAGATCATTTGGTGATATTACATAATAAGTAAAAAATATTTTTCCACTGAATTTACATACTTTGATATCTTACAGTATCAAGATTAAGCTTTTAATCCAAGCATAAAATGTACGATATTGTGGTACAATGATGTGGTATTAAAAATTAATTTTATTTGGTTTTAGAATAAATTTTAAACAGGCATGCATCGAGTTTTTTAAAATAACTAATTTGTTATATATTTTGGCGACGAGTTAGGCGGCGCAAGCGGTATGAAAGCTCACCAGTTGGTTAACCCCCTGCTCAGCTTTATCAACGAAATACAGCACCTTACCCAACGAGTCCCACCACGGGTAATAAAAATCCTGTTGAATATTAAAAAGAGAAAAGTACGAATAGGTATGTTACACCTATAAATTCATGATTGCATGTCTGTGTATCTACATACGATACAATCCCTGAAGTAACTGATTTCTCCTTTAATACAAAAAAGGACATAAAAAGCAAGTTATTAATACGCGTAGCAGTTTTAACAAGCCGCATTCTATGTGATTAATGGTAGATGAGAAATTATATTAAATGCACCTTATTAACTTTCTAATTGATTATGTAATTAGAAATATATAGTGACTTATTATTAACATTCCTTAATAGTTAATGAAGTTAATGTTATAATATTCTTACTTATTTTTTGGACACACAATGTTAATTATTTAGTTTATATTATTCGTGTATTAGTTGTTAACAAATTAAGTGTAAATAAGGTTTTTAAAAAGTACTTAATGTTATTGAATTGTATATGGTTTATAATAAAATAAAAAAATAAAATCCATTAAATATACGTTGAAAATATAAAAATCTGTAAATAACTGTAAAAGTGAAATATATATATGATGTCAGTGAAAATAGCATAAATTATTCAAGTTGAAATATATATAGAATCAAAGTAGTTACATATTCATAAAAATTACCTTCAACAGATGTAACTGCTCCAATGTAAGGTCCTTAACAGGTATTTCCAACATATCCATAGCTTCTATTTGTTTCTTGCGTTTTAATGAAATAGATACATAAAAATCGTGGTAAATAACCGGTATATGATCTTTAGACAGTTGGACGTCAAATTCAACCATATCAGCTCCATGGTATGATGCAGTCTTTAAAGAAGCTATTGTATTTTCACGTACATTAGCACAGCTACAAATAAATTGTAATATATAAATTTCAGCTCATCTAAATAATTTCTAAAAAATGTTATCTCTTTAATAACTTTAAAGATAATAACGTACTTCTTTGTTTGAAAGGATGTACCCAATCCTCTGTGTCCTACATCCAAGCCAGACCACCGTTGTTCCCAATGTTTTGCATATGAAATATTCATATCCCATGGATAATCTGGAATTGACTTTATCACAACATATTCCACTGTAAGTTGCCCTAAAAAAAGATATATATAGCATTATCATCAATAATATTCAATACTAAAAGATAAAAAAGACAATACTATACCAATTGGTCTATGTTTTGTGCTTGTAATTGGTACTGTTAGAAGCCCAACACTGGACTGTAACGTGCTAGGCAAGATGTAGCTGAAACCGATATGACTTGGTGGTTCTCCTGGAAAACATCTTGAGCTGTACACGTAGTAGTCCACTAAGTATGCCTGAAAAGACAACTTACTTAATATACATGGAAAAATACTACTATTTATAACAACACCAAATGCTTGCATCAATAATTTTTGCTCATCCATTATAGAGCTTGCCTCAACATTAATTAACTCCAATGATCAAGGAAATATGAAAAAACTTTTTTTGTGAATATGTATCTCTAATTTGAGAAACAAGTAAATTAGAGATTCTAATGAAATGTGGTAAAATTTTATGGCAAATTATTAAAGATCCTTGACCACTAAAAATCGTAGGAATTAAATTATATCATTAAAGACATGTGTACATCTTTTGCTTTTCCACAAAATTCTGTTAAGTCTTTGGCAGATTCAAATAATTTGTAGGCAAAAGCAACAAATTACTAGTGAATGATAAAACAAAGGGCGATAATTTATTTCCTACATAATCTGCCTGATGACGCGTATCCCGCAACACCTGCCGATCATTCATTATTAAATTTCGATATCAAGTCTGCAAGGTTTGTAATTCAGATTCAGAAGATTCTGACAGCTTAGCCTGGTATTGGCCGCGCAGCGGTGTCACGTACGGTACAGTAGAGTTGGTCAGAGCTAGAAAATATTAGTAGTACACTAAAAGGATATAGGAGTGATGGGAGCCTCACCATTTTCGACGCACACAGATGGATATGAGGTGTGACAGCGTTGACATCTCTAAATTCTTGGGGTTGTTTAGGATGGCTACAACTCACGTAAACCGATTTCATACAATGAATAGAATGCATAATTTACATGATAAATATTGTCAAAGTCCGATATTTTAGACTATGATAATGCAATGCGCTTTAGAAAATTTTGCGATTTACGAGAGATTAGCCTAAGGATAGGTGCGGTAGGGCGAACGACAATCAAAACCATCATATCTCTGTGTGATGTCATGTGACACAGATGTAAAGTGGTAGACGATGCTTTAGCATCGATACATCAGATTGCATGTTAGCATCATCATTTGCACCAGAGCATCATCAATGTCTTGCTTTGTACAAAGCTGACGGTTGTCTTCGTTCCAGGCCAGTGCGCGTGACATCGCTCCTGGTTTCCAAGGAGGGCAATAGCTGCTGAACAAGTTTAATTATCTTTTACCAAGTAATTTGAACAAGTCGCGAGAGAAGACGTGGCCGGCCTACTCGTGGTCTACTGAAAACTCACATGGTATGGTCAATGCGTATCTTTAGTGTGTCTAATTTTTTATATGAATTACCACTAGTTCGTAATTTATTGCTCTGCCACATCTACAATTTTTATTAATCTTTCTTATTCATTATTTATCTGCCACTTAATAAAGATGTACTTTTATCATTGAAGTTAAGATGTCAAATCAAAAGAAGACATTTTGTTCTCTGATCGTTTGTGTGTTTTTACAGTTAGCTTATATATTACTGAAGACAATGCCTTCGATGTCTCCATCTGTAGACCTATCCACGACGAATAGGCTGGTTTGAAATAAGTATTGAAGATCTACCCTATGTACATAATACAATGTCATACAAATTATAAGTAATGCAAGCAATAAATACCAACCAATGGTTATTCATTCAGTTGTGTATTTACTATGATTTCTTGATGAGGCACTTCATATGATTACTTACGATAGTTTCAGGATATCGAACCGCGACATTGAAGATAACAAATTCGTCTTCATTATAAGCTCGACCAAATTGCTCCTGTATCTTGAAACGAGCTTCTTCATCATTCATTGCCTAAAATTATAACAAGAATATATTATTATAAAAATAAATATGATAATCATTGATTTTTATAAAAAAAACGTAGTAGAATTATACATACCGCAATTTCTGTAATACTAAAGGCAGGTTGATCAACAACATCTTGTGTATCCATAGAAAGACTATCATCTACACAATCGCCACCAAATTGTGGCAATTCTAAAGAATTGTGCCTAACTAGATTTACAGGTGTCATCTAAATTAAAAAAGATGTGTTCTAATTCTCAATTTTTAAATATTAATGTACAAATATGTAATTTTAAAACACACCTTAATGTGTACTTTCCTATTTTGTAGTCTATTTTTCCATAATTTAATTGGATTATTAAAAAGCTTAAATTGTATCACAGTTTCATCGGTCAACCAGCCCCGTTCAATTTTACAGTAGCCGTTGTAATAACCGAACTTATCCGGATCTGGCAATGTGTCACTAGTAAAATTGCTAGATGCTGTAACAAATTCATTTACTTAATGTTGCAATTTATAATAAAAATATAATTTTTTAATTAATTAATCTATATAAAATATACTTGATTACATACTGTTCTTTTTGATAAAGCGTGGTGTCATATGAGTTTCCCATCTACGAATGATAAGAGTTTTGGCCGAATTTTTAGTACCATTAGATTGACAGATGACTGCAACAAAATATCGGAACTCTACATCAGCATCGATGGGAAGTGCAACCTTTTGCGAAAATATTTGTCCACCTCTAAAATTTACAAATTTCATTTATTATATTTTAAGTAAAGTACACGAAAAGTAAAATAATATAAATCATCATGAATATCTAAATGTTTATCTTCACTTACTCATCATCTACATCACCAAATGAGTTATCTCCAGCATTGTCATGTATATCATCACTATAAAACTCTCCACTACTGTTGTTATCAAAAATTGTTGGAGAATCCCGACTGCCATGTTCTTGTGACAACTGGATTGCCTGGTTGTGATTCCAAGCACCCAGTTCAGGCAAATTACCCACTACATATAAGACTTCACTCTTTTCTAATTTATGTACCTGATTAAAATTAAAAAGAAGTGAAGGAAGTTATTCTAAAATTATTGGTTTAATGAGTAACAATACTAATATCAGTACTAATTACCTGGACTCTAAAAATCCAGTCCCTTTTAGATCCCCTCATGTCTGATGTATGTTCAGTCGCCACCTCGATGAAGTTAGTCTCGCGTGGTACCTCTTGCTGCTTGTGTTGCACCCCCTCTTTGTTCTCTATAAACCATATCCGCTGCATATTACTATGTTTTCTTTTTCTCACTGTTTTTCTCTTTCAATTCTCTGTGTTTCAAGGTGTGTTCAATTCACATCAGCTAATTTTCTGTAATAAGGGTCTTATTGTAAGGAAGATTTTAGAATAGCAATCAAATGGGATAATTATTAGATAGATACAATTTTTATGAAAATTGATTTCTGTAAATTCCTTCTATAATATATATTATTATCGACAATAATATATTAAGAATTATTCCTTATATTTAATACATAGGATATTACTTAATATAGTTTTATCACTTTTTGATCAATGTAAATAATTTTTGGAATCTATTAAGCATTATCAAAATTTTAAGAGAACACTCAAATGATTATGTATACAATTGTTAAATTAAATTCCAAATATGAAAAATATTGGATTTTTATACATTTTTTAAAACAGTTTTCAGATCTTTAATATATGTATATTTCATGTGTGTATTGTATGTACATATGTATATTATTTGTTTCACAAATATACATATTTTTAATATGTTTAAATCATTTTATTTATTTATTTAGAATTTATAGATTTTATTAAAATGTTATTAATGTTATGTTTACTGGGAAGGTTTAAACATGATAATATTAAAACAAATTATAATATATAAGATAAAACACTGTGTTATTCAATGGTGAACAACCTTTAAAAGTGAAAGCAGAGAAAAGAAGAGCTTAAAGAAATAAATTTAAAATAATATAACATTTTGTGATTAATTATTAAGAATAATTTGACTATCATACATCTAGAATTCCTTTTTAATGTAGAAATTTTTTCATAAATAACGTAACTTTATATAAAATAAGTTTTATAAAATATAGTTTGGGAACAAACATAAAAAATAATTTTACATTTTGCATATTTTTAAAGCAGTTGTAGATTTCTGATATTTTACGAAATTGTTTGCAAGATAATTCCCTTTGTATTAATACATAACAATAGTAGATTATTGCAACATGCTAAATACACGAATACATTTTGCGCTAGTAAAATATAGCACAGTACGGTACAATGCGATAAAATATAGTATAAAAACTGCACCAGCACACACCAATACATGAAACAAAAGCGAAACATCCAGCACTCTTTTTTCAGTAATGAAGTTTGCAGATTATTCAATAATAAATGCAATATTGAATCTGGAGAGCACATGTGTCAATAATATATAAATATTGGCAAATGTGAAATAATTTCTGTGTCATGTCATATGTGAGTTTCGTATAATGAACAAAGCAAACCTTCTAAGTTGTTGTCAAATCACGATCATACAGATATTTTCGCAATTTTAATGGGAAAACTACTTATATGGAAATACACTGATGTAAGAAAGTTTGAAAACAGCTTTCAAACATGTCGGAAACGAGGAAAAAATAGAAAACAATTTGGTTAGTGAGAAAAATGTGAAGATATTCAATCTCTGTTTTGAATTGATTTTGAATATTAAACGGTATCATTTCTGAAAATTGTTAGTTTACCTATTATATCGAAAAAGTTCGGTGGGTTTTACTCGTAAAGTTTGATTGGCAGCCTGGTATTCACCTCGTACAAGAATGCGTGTTATTTGACGAATGCCCAAGGCAGTCGCTCCATATTTTTTAACGAATTTGTCATAATTCGTCTCTTCACAGTACAGCACAACTATCTTAACTGACACGAAACGACTTACACGAGTGCAGCACTACACCTTACACCGCAGTAGTTTTTCTTGCACGAATGAAGTAATGGTCGATTTGGCAACGCCGTGAACATGGAAGTGACGACAACGATGGCTCAGTAGAACCTCCAATTCAAACTGATTAAATTTATTGTACTTTGAGAAATCTATTATATACTAATTTTATTAAAAAATACATATGCATTAGTAGTAATATTACTAACTGTACTTCTTAGTAAGTCAAAAATATTTTATACGATGCAAATATTCAGATATTCTTACTTAACTGATCTTCCACAAAATTTCGAGTAGTTACTTCCTGTCCGCCATACTGTGGCGAATACAATAAACGATATATTTATCGAGTAAAAGTAATTTTTTATATTATTTTTCTTCTATGTATACTTTTGTGCAATATTCCGAAAATAGGAATTTTTTAATAAACTATTTCGATACGGATTGTTGTATAAAAAAATAACATTTTAGTTTCGATGTCGTAACAGTTCGTCTCCATTACTCGCAAAATTTTCAACGCCTCTTTCACATTCACTTAAGAACTTCCGTTATTGCCATACACGGTATGCAATAAATCAATGTTCAACTTTCAAAGACTTTCTATCAGAACGTTACATTTCCATCGCTAAATGCAATAATTTGCATACATCAATTTTGAACGACATACATACTATTGAGGACAATACCTATAAAACGCGCTACATAATTTCGTTACCTTAGCTGGGGGTATCGATATATGTGTAAGGATAATGATAAGTATATATCTCCTTTTATTCTGTTATTTCCTTTTGTCTTCTCATGAGTAAATATACATATGACAAAAATTTTAACACATTCGATTGGAAGAAGGGTAGTAGTGACAACAGGAAAACACTCGTTAAAAAAATCGACCATAGGGGAACTAGAATAAGAGTAGCGACGCATTAAAAGAGGAAACTACTCAATGCAAAACGATGTGCCAATACTATATCTACTTATCTTTTCGCAACTGTATATAATAAGAACATCCAATTAATTACAACTGGTAGCTATATGTATATGAATCAAGCACAATCATTAGCGTTTCTATTTGGTTTCCAATATGTGTCTCAAATATTAGAATATTCTTCTGATTTTTTAAAATATTTAAATTAAATATTTTTAATTGCCATTTTTGTCTATACAATATTTAGTTTTTCTAATTATTTTATTTAAAATAATAAAAATGTGACAATTTACATTGCAATATAAATATAAGAGCAGTAATATGAACATATCTGTCTATTAAAGATATTACGATACGTTTTAATGTTTTTAAAAACGTGTTAATAGAACGTATTTTTGCTAAATCATATGTTTCTTGGAATACATCTTGGATTATACCCTAGAAACAAATGTAACACTGCACCATATTAGAATATGTAATAGTCATGCAATGCCAGACCTGGTTCGGCTTCGAGTTTGACTATTGAAACATGAAAGGTGTATAGGTGTCATATAGTAATATATAAACTTAAAACTCGTATAAAGATAGAGTCATTTGTTATCAAATCATTAAGAATTGCAATTTGTTGGTTCTAAATAACTTAGAATGTTCCTGACGATTATGAAAAATATTCGTGATTTGACTTGCGACTTGGCGAAATAAGAATAAGAAATTATGATTAAAAAAGAAATTAATTTCTCATTGAAATTTATTGTTCTATTTGCTTTTTAATAGCAAAATTTCTTCATGACTAATAGCTAATATGTCTTATATATCAGAAAATTACATTCTTTTCATACCTGTTATTTTGGAACTTCAATTGATAAGCGAAGAAAGTATATACGCAACATTGTTCCTTTTCTTTTCTTTGATTTGTAATTATAAAATACCTACAATTATAGCTATAAATAAATTTCGTGGATAAATTTCGTGGACATTTCTTAAAACGAATGTTTTAAAAATTTTTCGTTTAGATATAAATAGAATCTATATTCTAGAAAGATTAAAAATTTACAATACCCTTAATTCTGGCAAAACTATCTACTACAATACTTTGAAATTAATTATTGTTAAGAGAAAGTACACTTTACTCTGGTATCACTATTGCAGCAAGCAAGCAGTAGATAGCGTTTCTATCTGTTTAGCTATTAAATCTTGAATTTTTGATTAATATAATATTAATCTGATAAATACAATATTTGATTTATACAATATTTTATATGGATAATATCGATCATTTTCATATTTAATATACAAAATTACACACCTAGTTAATATCTACACATCTCTTATGAAATATTTATATTTTTCAGTTTATATTATTAAAATGTTATATATATTACATTAAAAATCATATATAGAGTCATTAAAATCACAGGTATCTTTTAAAATTTATATTTTACGTAACCAGGAAAATCTGGATCCCAACTTACGAGCATTTATACTTAGAATTTCTACTTGCCAACACTTTTGCACGTGCGGTGTGTATTTTTTAAGGCCAACGTAACTTGATGAGTTGCAAGAAATTGTCTTAACAAAAAATATTTAAGAAAATATAATTGCGCAACTTCTTTTTTAAAGATTCTTTCAACAGAACTTAAGGTTCGATTGCTTGTGGCGCAGTAATGTATTGGTATAAATGAAGAAATCAATATCATTCCTTTGTCAAAGGTATTTGCATTATACCTATTAAAAGTACTCTACGCTATTAAATATAATATTTCTCTTATAACATTACTCATAATTAATTTGACATATAATGCATACATTTTTTTAATTTTATGAATATTGTATTTTCTGTAAGGATTATTTTTACAGAATCTAAAAAAGAACTATCGTGGAACGCCATTCATTTTTATGATACAAGAATTACAACTTGATTTAAGCAATATGTTCTTTATGTGTTTATTAATTTATCGTATATGAAAGTTCGAGATTTATTTATTGTTCAGCTGATAAATCATGTATGAACTCTCGACTATACGTATGATAATATGCTACCTTACTTTAACTTCTAAGAAAAAGTGGATTCACAGAATATAAATCTATTTGTGAAACCATTTTTGTTTAAAAGACGTCCAACCACGAAGTAAAAGAATATTTTTTAAGAATTATTTAAGTCATATCTTTCACAGTAATATATATTTATTTGACAGAAGTGAAACATTACACTATTCCGCTGGTTTCTAAGAATGCTTTTACTTTTTGCGGTATAAAGGAACATTACGATGTCGGATATTATTACGTATTTAGGTAAATATATCAATACATAGCTAAAAATATTTATTAGATATCATTTTTCTCTCTACTTTATTTTGTTACGATTTTAGTTTTCTCAAAATTAGATGTTTGAATTATCATCATTTATATATTAATTAATTAATATATTTTTATTATTTATATACAAATAATTCTTGACATGAGTTCAACGACATAAGAAACAATGTTCAAGGTCTCACAAGGTCGAGAACGACAAAAATAATCTAGAATATTTGCAATGTCGTTCCATTGGACAAAAATATCTGTCTTTAAAATGATTTTCAGTTTCAAAAATAACTTTCTTGAATCCTGTAAATTACGGTTTTGATATATTTTATTACGTTTATGTATTTCAACAGAAGAAGCTTTAAGAGAAATTGCGAATATTTAATCCTGTATGGAAATCTACGTATTTGGCTGCAAAGCGGCAATTTTTTAAAAATAAGTATTCTGAAATAGAATTTAAACTGGATATGTATAACGTCTATTATTTGGACACAGTTCAATGTTTCTTGAACACTGTTGATTGTTGATCACTGAATTCAAAATATAATTCAAGATAAAAGAATATCATATAAAGAAAACTCCAAAAATAAAAAGAAAATAATGAAAATTATATATGTAGTTAAGGATAGAAGTTCTATATATTTTTTTAGTTGATAGAACGATCGCATGTGCTTGATCAGTTATTTCAAGATTACCCTGTATAGCTTTCGTCAAGGTTTTTAGCGATTATTGTTTAAATATTTTACGTTTTATGATTCTACAAAAAGTATACTTTAAAAGGATTCACTTTACTGCTTGTTTTCAGCAAACAAAAAATTTTAGTTATGTATCTGAAAATTTATTTTCATTTGCTTTTTATGTGCGATTTTCATCATATAGTTTATATTAGACAGAATAATGATCAAGCGTTGTGAAAGTCATGCTAAGTTACATATCGATCTGTTCGAATCATAGATATATATATACTGGTGCACACTTAACAAAGATGTAAAAAAGGCTGCTTAAAGAAACAAAACTAATGCAATTATTCTGATGCCATTGTTCTATTACCATTGACACAAATACATTGTGCTCGTAATCGTTTATACCTCCATTTTTTCATTACTTTGCTATTGTCGCGTGTAATTAGCGTCTAAATAAAAAAACACTATTTCTTTTTCTACAAATAACACTTCACAAATAATGTTTCACAAACGAACACTCAAAATATTTTTTTCTCAGGCTTCTATTTCATTGTATGATTTATAACTATCGTGATCGACTTAACCATTCGATATCAATTATTCAGTGGAAGATCAAAATTACAAGCAATCATTGTTACATCTAACCAAACAGTTGTTCATTAATTAATAAATTATAGCGTATATTTTAAACTATACTCACTATTATTATTTGTAACATTAATTTTTTCTTAACTGAAGTTTCTTTTTTTTTGAAAATATTTCATTAACTATTTATAATTGAATAAATTATATGTATTATTTCTTTTGTATTGTGTGTTATTACTATTATCATTATATTATAAACATCTTTGTATTAAAAGATATGTACATTTCCTAGGGATACCAAAACGCCATCTGTCCATGATTTTTCTTGGATCGCCATGTTTTAAGGTTAGAGGATAAAGCGCGCGTGACATTGTTAATTCGATTTGAAAGTTTTTCTGTATAGCATATAACGCTAGTCGCTCTTGTGCAATATTTGCACGTCATGAAATTGCACATTCTCTTAGCACGACGTACGTCATTCCAAAGTTAGCAGGGAAATTATGAAAAATTATACAAAATTAATGTACATAAAAGACGTACATTGGTATGAAATTATTTTTATTTAATG